CATTTCATTTGTATTATAAACATTCACATGTTATTCTGGTTGCAAAAGCCCCTCCAGAAACCTTCTGAACTTGACCTACCTGGGTCTAGAGGACAGGTGAATATTGATAATAATAACAGTAACCTGGGTCTAGAGGACAGGTGAATATTGATAAAAATAACAGTAACCTGGGTATAGAGGACAGGTGAATATTGATAAAAATAACAGTAACCTGGGTCTAGAGGACAGGTGAATATTGATAATAACAGTAACCTGGGTCTAGAGGACAGGTGAATATTGATAATAATAACAGTAACCTGGGTCTAGAGGACAGGTGAATATTGATAATAATAACAGTAACCTGGGTCTAGAGGACAGGTGAATATTGATAATAAATAACAGTAACCTGGGTCTAGAGGACAGGTGAATATGATAATAATACAGTAACCTGGGTCTAGAGGACAGGTGAATATTGATAATAATAACAGTAACCTGGGTCTAGAGGACAGGTGAATATTGATAATAATAACAGTAACCTGGGTCTAGAGGACAGGTGAATATTGATAATAATAACAGTAACCTGGGTCTAGAGGACAGGTGAATATTGATAAAAATAACAGTAACCTGGGTCTAGAGGACAGGTGAATATTGATAATAATAACAGTAACTTGGTCTAGAGGACAGGTGAATATTGATAATAACAGTAACCTGGGTCTAGAGGACAGGTGAATATTGATAATAATAACAGTAACCTGGGTCTAGAGGACAGGTGAATATTGATAAAAATAACAGTAACTTGGTCTAGAGGACAGGTGAATATTGATAATAATAACAGTAACTTGGTCTAGAGGACAGGTGAATATTGATAATAACAGTAACCTGGGTCTAGAGGACAGGTGAATATTGATAATAATAACAGTAACCTGGGTCTAGAGGACAGGTGAATATTGATAAAAATAACAGTAACTTGGTCTAGAGGACAGGTGAATATTGATAATAATAACAGTAACTTGGTCTAGAGGACAGGTGAATATTGATTATAATAACAGTAACCTGGGTCTAGAGGACAGGTGAATATTGATAATAATAACAGTAACCTGGGTCTAGAGGACAGGTGAATATGATAAAAATAACAGTAACCTGGGTATAGAGGACAGGTGAATATTGATAAAAATAACAGTAACCTGGTCTAGAGGACAGGTGAATATTGATAATAACAGTAACCTGGGTCTAGAGGACAGGTGAATATTGATAATAATAACAGTAACCTGGGTCTAGAGGACAGGTGAATATTGATAATAATAACAGTAACCTGGGTCTAGAGGACAGGTGAATATTGATAATAATAACAGTAACCTGGGTCTAGAGGACAGGTGAATATTGATAATAATAACAGTAACCTGGGTCTAGAGGACAGGTGAATATTGATAAAAATAACAGTAACCTGGGTCTAGAGGACAGGTGAATATTGATAATAATAACAGTAACTTGGTCTAGAGGACAGGTGAATATTGATAATAACAGTAACCTGGGTCTAGAGGACAGGTGAATATTGATAATAATAACAGTAACCTGGGTCTAGAGGACAGGTGAATATTGATAAAAATAACAGTAACTTGGTCTAGAGGACAGGTGAATATTGATAATAATAACAGTAACTTGGTCTAGAGGACAGGTGAATATTGATAATAACAGTAACCTGGGTCTAGAGGACAGGTGAATATTGATAATAATAACAGTAACCTGGGTCTAGAGGACAGGTGAATATTGATAAAAATAACAGTAACTTGGTCTAGAGGACAGGTGAATATTGATAATAATAACAGTAACTTGGTCTAGAGGACAGGTGAATATTGATTATAATAACAGTAACCTGGGTCTAGAGGACAGGTGAATATTGATAATAATAACAGTAACCTGGGTCTAGAGGACAGGTGAATATTGATAAAAATAACAGTAACCTGGGTATAGAGGACAGGTGAATATTGATAAAAATAACAGTAACCTGGGTCTAGAGGACAGGTGAATATTGATAATAACAGTAACCTGGGTCTAGAGGACAGGTGAATATTGATAATAATAACAGTAACCTGGGTCTAGAGGACAGGTGAATATTGATAATAATAACAGTAACCTGGGTCTAGAGGACAGGTGAATATTGATAATAATAACAGTAACCTGGGTCTAGAGGACAGGTGAATATTGATAATAATAACAGTAACCTGGGTCTAGAGGACAGGTGAATATTGATAAAAATAACAGTAACCTGGGTCTAGAGGACAGGTGAATATTGATAATAATAACAGTAACTTGGTCTAGAGGACAGGTGAATATTGATAATAACAGTAACCTGGGTCTAGAGGACAGGTGAATATTGATAATAATAAACAGTAACCTGGGTCTAGAGGACAGGTGAATATTGATAAAAATAACAGTAACTTGGTCTAGAGGACAGGTGAATATGATAATAATAACAGTAACTTGGTCTAGAGGACAGGTGAATATTGATAATAACAGTAACCTGGGTCTAGAGGACAGGTGAATATTGATAATAATAACAGTAACCTGGGTCTAGAGGACAGGTGAATATTGATAAAAATAACAGTAACTTGGACAGGTGAATATTGATTATAATAACAGTAACCTGGGTCTAGAGGACAGGTGAATATTGATAATAATAACAGTAACCTGGGTCTAGAGGACAGGTGAATATTGATAAAAATAACAGTAACCTGGGTATAGAGGACAGGTGAATATTGATAAAAATAACAGTAACCTGGGTCTAGAGGACAGATGAATATTGATAAAAATAACAGTAACCTGGGTCTAGAGGACAGGTGAATATTGATAATAATAACAGTAACCTGGGTCTAGAGGACAGGTGAATATTGATAATAACAGTAATTGGAAATATAGTATCAAGTGAAAGTAACAGTTGTAATAGTTTGTGGTAGAAACAGAAGTGAAAGTATTAGTAAACGTAGGATTCGTGTTAGAAGAGGTAACAACAGTAGTAGTAATAGTAATTACTAATAGTGGTGATAGTATTAACAGAAATGTTAGTAAATATATTAGAAATGATATAGCAGAATTGGTAACAAGCAAATGAACACACACACACACACACACAAAAAAAAAAAAAAAAAAAAAGGCCAAATGTCTATCGGCAAGTGCCTTTGACATATAACTAACACACGCAACAGGCCAAGCGCCTATCGACAAGCACTTTTGACATATGGTAGCCATCAAAACAGGTCAATTGTCTATCAACAAGTGCTTTTGCCAACTATTAACAAACCGACAGCAAACTTCACTAGCTGACATATTTAATACGCCCCAAGGATGGAAGAGAAGAACGTACCAGCAAGACTGTATCTGGTCTTCTCCCGAAGTGCCGCGGACGTAGAGGAAACTTAAAACAAGGGACCAGAGACCACATGGTTCAATGTTTCATACACATTATGGACGTGGGACTGCAGAGAACCATGAACAAAGAGATACAAGAAAAATCAGGCTAATCGAGAATTATTTAAATATCAAAGAGAAAGATTACCAATGGATTTAAGTGGATAAGGACAAGTAATGCAATACAAGATGACAGATTACTTGGGATGTGTTAGGAAAAAATAACAGATTTCTATCAGAAGGATAAAAATGGGAGTGATTAAAGGTAAAAACAAAATCATTGAAAAAAAGATGGCAGAAAATAGGGAATTAAGCAAAAGAGCTAATTTTAAATATGAAAGAATAAAATGATGCAACAATGAAATCCAAAATAGAATCTGATACATAACCACATCAGATGAAAAAATAGCAATAAAGGACCAAATAAAATTTAAAAATATGAACTAACAATGACTGAAAGACAAAAACAATTTAACAAAAGATTCAAACAGGTTTTCACAGACAACAGCTCACTGAGTGAGTTGTCTTCTCTGAGTGACGTATTAACTCTGTAATATATAAAATGCGCTTCTCTTGCCTCTTAATCCTATTCCCAGGTGTTAAAATGTGAAAAAGGATTCTCGTGTAGAGATCAGGACACTAAAGTAAAAGTGTCGCCACCAGGGCTTCGCGAGTCCTGATGAAGCCACGCCACCAGGGCTTCACGAGTCCTGATGAAGCCACGCCACCAGGGCTTCACGAGTCCTGATGAAGCCATGCCACCAGGGCTTCACGAGTCCTGATGAAGCCATGCCACCAGGGCTTTGCGAGTCCTGATGAAGCCACACCACCAGGGCTTCACGAGTCCTGATGAAGCCACGCCACCAGGGCTTCACGAGTCCTAATGAAGCCACGCCACCAGGGCTTCACGAGTCATGGTGAAGCCACGCCACCAGGGCTTCACGAGTCCTGATGAAACCATGCCACCAGGGCTTCGCGAGTCCTAATGAAGCCACGCCAACAGGGCTTCACGAGTCCTGATGAAGCCACGCCACCAGGGCTTCACGAGTCCTAATGAAGCCATGCCACCAGGGCTTCACGAGTCCTAATGAAGCCACGCCACCAGAGCTTCGCGAGTCCTAATGAAGCCACGCCACCAGGGCTTCACGAGTCCTGATGAAGCCACTCGTGGCGAAACTTTCCTCCAATAAACGGGAATTAAAATTTTCAGATTGAGAACCCTTCAGGGTTCTCAATTTTCTTACACACCTTCCCTTTTATGAACACTAGGCTTTATCTTCTTGTTTGCAGTAGGTGGATTAACAGGAGTTATTCTAGCAAACTCATCGATTGATATCATTCTTTATGACACCTATTACGTCGTAGCCCACTTGTAGACAAGTGTCGTTTTCCACAGTGTGTCGGTATCACCATAAAATTTATAACCAAAGTGATCGAAATGTTGCCTCTCTGGCCACCCTGAAATAGCATTTATATTTCTAAAGCACTAGCGCTTCCCCTTATAATAATAAACATAATAATAATAATAATAATAATAATAATAATAATGAAATAGTAATAATTCAATATTAATACATATTTCTCTTTATTAATGTTATTTATTTTTTCCTCCCCAGTTGTAATGTTATTGCTGGTGCTGCTGGTGCTGCGGTGCCACATTGTGAGTATAAACATTCCCACTGTTGTCACTTCCATATCATGCAGTTCTTGTTTGGGAATCTTCAGCTTCTCAAAAAAATGATAATTATCACAAACATTACTCAGCTAGTACAACTCTTTTGGATACAAGAATCTAAGAGTAATGTAAACATGGTGCTGCCATGATGTGACAATGATGGGGTTAGTTATTCACACGAAGTCATGAGATTCTGAATCCTTCTGTTAAAGGTCACTGTCAGACGGATTCTAATAATGTCGAGTTGGAACGTAAAGAAAAGGAATCCAGGGGACTGACCTGAGAAGTGTATTAAAGACTAGTTCATATTTTTGACCTTAGTTGGTAAGATAGGTATGTGAGCAGAATATAAGCATTATTTTAGTTCGAGTCCGGGATGTACATGTCCTGGCTGGACACTCTTTTAACACAAATATTTGCTCTCCTCATTTCCGGTCTTCTCATTATATTGCTCCTAAAGAAGTATTCGTAATTGCAGTGCGAAAGGACTAGAGCGACACCATTCTCAACCCTTATGCTTACGATATGTATGTATATATGTCGTGCCGAATAGGTAAAATTGGTCAATTAGCAAGAACTCATTTAATATTAAGTCTCTTCTAAAATTTTCTCTTATACGTTTAAAGATACATTTTTTCATTTATGTTAATGTAAAAAAATAATAATTTTGTACCAAAAGAATCTTAGAAAACTTACTTAACCTTATAAAAAGCGCAATTTAATTTAGCCTAATCCAACTAAATTTATTTTAGATAAGCTTACAATAATTTAATAAACAAAGGCAATGAAAGATATTTTTTTCGTTAGGTTCAAAATAATATTTGCGAAATTACTGCACACAAATTTTCGCTTGCCTTATTCGGCAAGAAGAGAGTTGCTATTTATGCTATTTAAGCCAAAATCGCAAGTTTTACACACACACACACACACACACACACACACACACACACACACACACACACACAACATATATATATATATGTTATATATAGGTAGTAGGTTGGTAGACAGCAACCACCCAGGGAAGTACTACCGTCCTGCCAGATGACTGTGAAACAGAAACCTGTAACTGTTTTGCATGATGGTAGGATTGCTGGTGTCTTTTTCTGTCTCATAAACACGCTAGATAACAGGGATATCTTGCTACTCCAACTTACACTTTGGTCACACTTCACAGAGATGCACATGCATATATATATATATACATACAGCTAGGTTTTTCTCTTTTTTCTACATAGCTCTTGTTCTTCTTTATTTCTTCTATTGTCCATGGGGAAGTGGAAAAGAATCTTTCCTCCGTAACCCCAGCGTGTCGTATGAGGCGACTAAAATTTCCGGGGAGCAATGGGCTAAAACCCCCCTTCCCCTAAGACATTTCTAAAAAAAGAAAGAAAAATTTAAATAAAACTGGATGCTTGAATGTGCGGGGATGTATGCAGATGACAAAAACAGATGTTCTGATGTTAGAATGAAAAAAAGTTGGATGTCCGGCCCTAACGAAACAAAGCGAAGGGGTAGGGGAGTTTGGGTGGGGGAAATAAAGGGATTAAATCTGGAGTATCGAGAGATTTTAGAGAAAAGGAAGGGTACAGTAATGTTGAATGATCGTTATGGAAGGGAAAAGGAATAAAAGTGAAAATGCAAGAATTAGTGGATTAAAGTAAAGGGTTGGGGACGAAAGTGGGTCATAAAAACGTGTATGCACCGAGAAAGGGGAAATGCAAGGGAAGAGAGAAATTTGGGATTTTAAGGAATGTATAGGACCCTTTTGACCAAGTGAGAGAGTAATTGGGGTAGGGGACCTGAATGCTATAGTAGGGAAACTTTTAGAAGGGTTGGTAGGTAAGTTTGGGGTCCCCAGGTGAAATGATAATGGGAGCCCTTTGTTGAATTTTTGTATAGAAAGGGGTTTATTATGGGCAATACTTTTTAAAAAAAAGGGGATAAAAAATAAAACAAATATGATGTGGGGCGAAAGGGCAGTGTTTTTTGGGTTTAGTTTTGGGTAAAAAAGACTGTTGAGAGACTTTCAGGTTTTACATTTTTTAATAGGGGGCCACAATAAAACAACCCTTTTCTAGTTTTAGCTACACTGAGATAAAAGGAAGATGGAAACAAGGGAATAGAACATCAGGAAGAGGAGTGAAGGTTTAAAATAAAAGAGGGGCATTTAGGGAAAGATACAAACGCTATTGGGGATGAGGGGCTAATGAGAGCTAGGAAAGGGGGGTCAAAAGAGGTATGGGTGGGTTTAAAAAAAAATGTATTTTTAGAGTGTTCAGCAAATTTTTGGGGTTACAGGAAGTGGGTGCGGAGGGAAAAGGACGATTGGGGAATGAGATTAAAAGAGAGTATAGGAGAAAAAGTTACATTGAGAAGTTTTTACAAATAAAGTGATGCAAGGGGGGAAAGTATATGGGAAAAAGAAAAGGGTTAAGAGAGGGTGAAGCAATGTAAAAAGAGAGCAAATGAGAGAGTGGGTGAGATGTTATCAACAAAATTTTTTGAAAATAAGAAAAATTTTGGAGTAGATTTAAAAAGTTAAGAAACCTAGAGAAAAAATGGGTTTGTCAGTTAAAAAAGGGAAAAAGTTATTTAAAAGGAGAGTTAGAGGGGTTTGGGGGGAAAGGAGGGAATATTTTTTAGGGAAATTTTTAATGTTAGAAAATAGGGAAGCTGGATTTTTGTATAGGGGAAGGGGGAATAACATCTGTAGGAGTGAGGAAAGGCCTTGGAGTGTGGGGGAAGTTCTGAGGGAGAGGGAAAAGAAAGGGGGTAAGGCACCGGGATTGATGGGGTAAAGATAGAAATGTTAAAGCAGGGGGGGGATATAGTTTTTGGAGTGGGTTGGGGCAATTATTTAAAATGATGGAAGAGGGGAAGGTACCAGGGATTGGCAAGAGCATCATATTCCTTTGTATAAAGGCAAAAGGGACAAAAGAAGTGCAAAAATTAAGGGGGGTAATCTGTTGAGTAACCCGCAAAGGTTTTTGGTAGAGTTATTATTGAAAGAATTAAAAAAAGACGAAATAGGATGCTAGAACAAGGAGGCTTTAGAAAGGTAGGGAGGTGTGGACCAGTTTTTACAGTGAAACAATAATGAACAGTATTTAGATAACAAAGAGGGCTTTGTGGCATTTATGGATTTGGAAAAGGTTAGACAGGGTGGATAGGGGGGGAATGTGGCAGATGTTGCAGGTGTAGGGGTAGGAGGGAGGTACTAAACAGTGAAGATTTTTTTAAAAGGGTAGTGAGGCTCAATTAGAGTACATCGGGAAAAAGGGGAAATTTTTTCCCAGTAAAAGTAGGCCTTGACAGGGGTGTGTGATGTCACCGGGTTGTTTAATATATTTATAGAAGGGTTGTAAAGAAGTAAAAGCGAGGGGCTTGACAAGAGGCGTGGGGGTAAAAGTAAGAATCACACATAAAATTTTAGTTGCACAGTTGCTCTTTTCGTGACACTGGCCTTTGGGGGATTCTGAAAAAAGTTGCAGAGATTGGTGGATGAATTTGGTAGGGTGTGCAAAAGAAGAAAAATAAAAGTGAATACAGGAAAGAGTAAGGTTATGAGGATAACAAAAATATTAGGTGAGGAAAGATTGGATATCAGATTGGAGGGAGAGTATGGAGGAGGTGAATGTATTCAGATATTTGGGAGTGGACGTGTCAGCGGATGGGTCTATGAAGGATGAGGTGAATCATAGAATTGATGAGGGAAAAAGGGTGAGTGGTGCACTTAGGAGTCTGTGGAGACAAAGAACTTTGTCCTTGGAGGCAAAGAGGGGAATGTATGAGAGTATAGTTTTACCAACACTCTTATATGGGTGTGAAGCATGGGTGATGAATGTTGCAGCGAGGAGAAGGCTGGAGGCACTGGAGATGTCATGTCTGAGGGCAATGTGTGGTGTGAATATAATGCAGAGAATTCGTAGTTTGGAAGTTAGGAGGAGGTGCGGGATTACCAAAAGTGTTGTCCAGAGGGCTGAGGAAGGGTTGTTGAGGTGGTTCGGACATGTAGAGAGAATGGAGCGAAACAGAATGACTTCAAGAGTGTATCAGTCTGTAGTGGAAGGAAGGCGGGGTAGGGGTCGGCCTAGGAAAGGTTGGAGGGAGGGGGTAAAGGAGGTTTTGTGTGCGAGGGGCTTGGACTTCCAGCAGGCGTGCGTGAACGTGTTTGATAGGAGTGAATGGAGACGAATGGTTTTTAATACTTGACGTGCTGTTGGAGTGTGAGCAAAGTAACATTTATGAAGGTGTTCAGGGAAACCGGCAGGCCGGACTTGAGTCCTGGAGATGGGAAGTACAGTGCCTGCACTCTGAAGGACGGGTGTTAGTGTTGCAGTTTAAAAACTGTAGTGTAAAGCACCCTTCTGGCAAGACAGTGATGGAGTGAATGATGGTGAAAGTTTTTCTTTTTCGGGCCACCCTGCCTTGGTGGGAATCGGCCAGTGTGATAATAATTATTTATTTTTTTTTTATTATCACACCGGCCGATTCCCACCAAGGCAGGGTGGCCCGAAAAAAAAAACTTTCACATCATTCACTCCATCACTGTCTTGCCGAAGGGTGCTTTACACTACAGTTTTTAAACTGCAACATTAACACCCCTCCTTCAGAGTGCAGGCACTGTACTTCCCATCTCCAGAACTCAAGTCCGGCCTGCCGGTTTCCCTGAATCCCTTCATAAATGTTACTTTGCTCACACTCCAACAGCACGTCAAGTATTAAAAACCATTTGTCTCCATTCACTCCTATCAAACACGCTCACGCATGCCTGCTGGAAGTCCAAGCCCCCCGCACACAAAACCTCCTTTTCCCCCTCCCTCCAAAACCCTTCCTAGGCCGACCCCTACCCCGCCTTCCTTCCACTACAGACTGATACACTCTTGAAGTCATTCTGTTTCGCTCATTCTCTCTACATGTCCGAACCACCTCAACAACCCCTTTCCTCAGCCCTCTGGACAACAGTTTTGGTAATCCCGCACCTCCTCCTAACTTCCAAACTACGAATTCTCTGCATTATATTCACACCACACATTGCCCTCAGACACGACATCTCCACTGCCTCCAGCCTTCTCCTCGCTGCAACATTCATCACCCACGCTTCACACCCATATAAGAGCGTTGGTAAAACTATACTCTCATACATTCCCCTCTTTGCCTCCAAGGACAAAGTTCTTTGTCTCCACAGACTCCTAAGTGCACACTCACTCTTTTTCCCTCATCAATTCTATGATTCACCTCATCTTTCATAGACCCATCCGCTGACACGTCCACTCCCAAATATCTGAATACGTTCACCTCCTCCATACTCTCTCCCTCCAATCTGATATTCAATCTTTCATCACCTAATTTTTTGTTATCCTCATAACCTTACTCTTTCCTGTATTCACCTTTAATTTTCTTCTTTTGCACACCTACCAAATTCATCCACCAATCTCTGCAACTTCTCTTCAGAATCCCCCAAAGAGCACAGTGTCATCAGCAAAGAGCAGCTGTGACAACTCCCACTTTGTGTGTGATTCTTTATCTTTTAATCCACGCCTCTTGCCAAGACCCTCGCATTTACTTCTCTTACAACCCCATCTATAAATATATTAAACAACCACGGTGACATCACACATCCTTGTCTAAGGCCTACTTTTACTGGGAAAAAATTTCCCTCTTTCCTACATACTCTAACTTGAGCCTCACTATCCTCGTAAAAACTCTTCACTGCTTTCAGTAACCTACCTCCTACACCATACACTTGCAAATCTGCCACATTGCCCCCCTATCCACCCTGTCATACGCCTTTTCCAAATCCATAAATGCCACAAAGACCTCTTTAGCCTTATCTAAATACTGTTCACTTATATGTTTCACTGTAAACACCTGGTCCACACACCCCCTACCTTTCCTAAAGCCTCCTTGTTCATCTGCTATCCTATTCTCCGTCTTACTCTTAATTCTTTCAATTATAACTCTACCATACACTTTACCAGGTACACTCAACAGACTTATCCCCCTATAATTTTGCACTCTCTTTTATCCCCTTTGCCTTTATACAAAGGAACTATGCATGCTCTCTGCCAATCCCTAGGTACCTTACCCTCTTCCATACATTTATTAAATAATTGCACCAACCACTCCAAAACTATATCCCCACCTGCTTTTAACATTTCTATCTTTATCCCATCAATCCCCGGGTGCCTTACCCCCTTTCATTTTACCTACTGCCTCACGAACTTCCCCCACACTCACAACTGGCTCTTCCTCACTCCTACAAGATGTTATTCCTCCTTGCCCTATACATGAAATCACAGCTTCCCTATCTTCATCAACATTTAACAATTCCTCAAAATATTCCTTCCATCTTCCCAATACCTCTAACTCTCCATAATAATATATATATATATATATATATTATATATATATATATATATATTATATATATATATATATTTTATATATATAAAATATATTATAATATTAGTGTGTGTGTGTGATGAAAAAAAAATTCATATTTACAGCATCAACATTGCAAATATGAGTCTCAAAAAAATATCAGTCTTTAAATTTCATTATACTCACCGTGGGAAGACTGAGTGTATTTGATAACTTATACCCTGTGTTTGTTCCCACTGTGGCAAGATTGTGTTTGACAACTTATACCCTGTGTGTGTGTTCCCATTGTGGCAAGACTGTGTTTGACAACTTATACCCTGTGTGTGTTCCCACTGTGGCAAGACTGTGTTTGACAACTTATACCCTGTGTGTGTTCCAACTGTGGCAAGACTGTGTTTGACAACTTATACCCTGTGTGTGTGTTCCCATTGTGGCAAGACTGTGTTTGACAACTTATACCCTGTGTGTGTTCCAACTGTGGCAAGACTGTGTTTGACAACTTATACCCTGTGTGTGTGTTCCCATTGTGGCAAGACTGTGTTTGACAACTAATACCCTGTGTGTGTTCCCACTGTGGCAAGATTGTTTGGCAACTTATACCCTGTGTGTGTACCCATTGCGGCAAGACTGACAACGTATACCCTGTGTGCGTTCCCACTGTGGCAAGACTGTGTTTGACAACTTATACCCTGTGTGTGTTCCAACTGTGGAAAGACTGTGTTTGACAACTTATACCCTGTGTGTGTGTTCCCATTGTGGCAAGACTGTGTTTGACAACTAATACCCTGTGTGTGTTCCCACTGTGGCAAGATTGTTTGGCAACTTATACCCTGTGTGTGTACCCATTGCGGCAAGACTGACAACGTATACCCTGTGTGCGTTCCCACTGTGGCAAGACTGTGTTTGACAACTTATACCTACCAATCTTCAGGCTTTATATTCTGTACGGAGTCAGCATTTTCACAAGAATAGTATAATAATAACAATAATAAACGGGTCTTGCTGACAGGTTACTGCTCAAGCCGAGGATGCGTCTGTCTCCAGCGGCATCTCAGCAGGTAAGTCATGAGTGATTCTTGCCATTGCTCTCTCACCTCTCCTACCTCACCTCCCCTTCCTCACCTCTCCTCCCTCACCTTTCCTCCCTCACCTCTCCTCTCTTACTTCTCCCTCACATTTCCTACCTCACCTTTCCTACCTCATCTCTCCTCTCTCACTTCTCCACCCTCACCTCTTTCTCCCTCACCTCTCCTTCCTCACCTCTCCTCCCTCACCTCTCCTTATTCAACTCAGTATTAATGTGAAATGCACTGGAGTCCCTTTTTACACCTATAAGTGCCAAAATTTCTTCAAACAAAACATTTCTCTCTGGAAATAAACTTGACTGGAGAAGTGAAATATGAGTTCTGTTGGCTAATAAAAGTCGTTAAGCCGGTAAGTTTAATAAAAAATACACTGTTTCATGGAAGCCTTTATTACTACAACATAGTGTTTTGTGATCGTCATGATTAAAGTTCTCTTTGCCAAGTGGTTAAACCAAATGGTTCAGAGAACCAAAAAGTTCACGACCGAGACACTTGTGCAACATTTGAATATAAGATAAGATAAGATAAGATTTCGTTCGGATTTTTAACCCCGGAGGGTTAGCCACCCAGGATAACCCAAGAAAGTCAGTGCGTCATCGAGGACTGTCTAACTTATTTCCATTGGGGTCCTTAATCTTGTCCCCCAGGATGCGACCCACACCAGTCGACTAATACCCAGGTACCTATTTGCTGCTAGGTGAACAGGACAACAGGTGTAAGGAAACGTGTCGAAATGTTTCCACCCGCCGGGAATCGAACCCGGGCCCACCGTGTGTGAAGCGGGAGCTTTAGCCACTAGGCCACCGGGCCACATTTCTTCATATTCCTTCTAACTGAGAAAGCCACTTGTTGCCGTAAAGTTTACACAGTAAAGATAGCCAAGTGTGGCACAAGTGTTTCAATCATCAGGTTGGTAGTTGTATGCGAGCCCGTGTGACCTCTGGAGACGAGCAGACGACTGATGGAGGTACTGACCTCGTCAGAAACTCATCTAGCTTGATGGCTGCTGCTACATTTGGTTTTTATCCAAACTGGTTTCTATCTCAGCTCGCTTTGAGAACCATATGACATTCAACAAGCATGATTTTTTCACTGACAGCCTCTCAACATGAAAATGAATGCGAACCTAGCTGGTTTCGGCTCCAGCTGGTCTACTCCAGCTCACCATGGCCTCAACAGATGTCAACCTGAGTCTTGACCTTATCTGACTCAATTATAATAATACGGTATCCCGTAGCTCGGTAGCTAGCGCACTCAGCTCACACACTGAGGTCCGGAGTTCGAATTTCCGGTACGGCTGGAAAACATTAGAGATGTATTTCCATAAGACACCTGCTGTCCATGTTCACCCATCAGTATAAAATGGGTACCTGGGTGTTAGTCGACTGGTGTGTGTCGCATCCTGGGATAAAACTGACCTAATTTTCCCGAAATGCTCTGCATAACATGTCATTGATGTCATGTAGGCCTGTATACCTTGTACATATACTTGTAGAAATAAAGAAATATAATAATCTTTATTTCTCCAAGAACATGTACAACGCATACAAGCCTAGGTGACATCAGTGATATACTACTATATAGAAAGCCCCTTATTATGCAGAGAGTTTAGGGCAAATTAGGACAGTTTTATCCCGAGGATGCGACCAACACCAGTCGACTAACACCCAGGTATTTTGTTGATAGGTGAACAGGGACAGCAGGTGTTTTAAGGAAACACCTCCCAATGTTTCCAACCGTAACTGGGATCGAACCAGTGACCTCAGTGTGTGAGCTGAGTCGCTAACAATCGAGCCCCAAAGGTTTCAGTGTGAGCTGACCAAAGTCATGAAAGGTCTCACTGTCAGCTGATCTCAACTGACACAAGACACAGGCCTGTGCGGATCTCTATCTGTGTAACTTCAATATTTTTTTCAAAATAGATTTCTAATAGATTGACAGACTCTTAATTTCTGAGCTTTAAAGCAATGCTTTATTCCAACAAGTGGCTTTAGTGTTAAATGTAAAGCACACGGTTTAAGACCTCCGTGAATGTTTGTCCACTTAAGTCCGATCAACAATAATTGTATAATAAATACAATACATAATACAATAAATACTGAACATAATATTTTTTTTAGAATCATTTGAAAATTATTAATTAAAATCATAGATAAATTTATACTAGTATCTTTTTTGAGCTGAATCTTTCAGATATTTGATGCCTAATAAAAACATGATTTAAAAATGATCATCATAAGGGTAAACTTAGGAAGTTCTCAAAGTATTTTGATCTTATAAGGTCACGTATGACCTTGGATGACCTCAGTTTTATTCATATTTGGCCTTACCTAACCTTCGTAATATCCTAGTTAAAATTTTCATACATAATTAGGTCATAACTAAGTTTTAATAGATATCTCACATATACAATATGAACTCGTTTAAATCCCGTTTGGCTTTTCAAAAGTTCATTTGTAAGCATGACCTGGATTGACTCGTGTTATGCATGACCTGGATTGACTCGTGTTATGCATGACCTGGATTGACTCGTGTTATGCATGACCTGGATTGACTCGTGTTATGCATGACCTGGATTGACTCGTGTTATGCATCACCTGGATTGACTCGTGTTATGCATCACCTGGATTGACTCGTGTTATGCATGACCTGGATTGACTCGTGTTATGCATGATCTGAATTGACTCGTGTTATAGTATAAAGCTTGGTAATTCATATTAACAAATTAGTTTAAAGCAACACTTAAACACTAGGACATATTTGTATGTCTTAGTGTTTGTTCGCTTGACTTTTAAAACCACTCACGTTATGTGTGACCTGGGCTGACTTGTGTTATGCATGACCTGAACTGACTTGTATTGTCATCCCGCAGCAGAGATCATCAGTCTTGGAGATGAGGACAACGACATGATCGTGGGTGTTGCTGGCATCGACTACCCAACTTACGCCCAGATTCCTGATACAACCTTCAGGTGAGTACAGTGAGTAAACAAGTGAGTAGGTAAGTAAATTAGTTTTTTTTTTTGTAGGCTTCGAGTACGTAATATGCGATTTTTTTGAAATGATCTTGAAGAAACACAGATGTTATGAACACATTACAATGGTCTTGAAAAAACACAGACGTTTCGAACACATAAAAAGTGCATCATGTAACACATTAGGTTCTTATATCTGAAAGAAAATTAGAAGTTATAGATTTAAATATATTTAATAAAATAATCTAGTAATTTTTAAATCCTAGGAACTTTAAGAACACAATGTTTCGACACTTGAAATGTAATTTACGAAGAATGTCATTTGTTAATACACGTCACCTAACACGAGGAAGATCCCTGAAGGGGGTCGAAATATAGAGGTTAATTAATCTCCTGAGTTTTCGTCTCCATGCGGGTTATTACTGAGCATTAAATAACACTTTTAACGGAGTACTGACCAGCGAGAAAGACTTCACGAGGCTCGCAAATTTTTTGTATCCCAGGGTAAATGCTACATAATTTACTGTATTATAATTTCAACTCATTTATAAGACCTAAATAAAAACTTAGCTACTAAAAATAGTGATAGTACCCAAGGTGACTCTTTTTTTCTAACGCCTTATTTTTTTGTGATTTGAGAAACTGACGAACACAGCGGAATTTGCTCTTGGTAAACAAACAGCTCACGAGCCACTGAGCGAGTTGGATTTTACGACTCACTCACCATGGGTTCAAGCCCCACCTGTTCTGTGGTTTGTTTAGAAGCGTCTTACTACCATTTCGTGAGTCATGAAAGCAGTTCACGCTCTGGGTTGTGCCTCTCTAGTTAGCAAGTACATGCGTGAAAAAATCTATAAATCTCACACTGGTCACTAGCTGTAAACTATCAATTTCTGCTAAATAAAATGTGTTTAATTTACGATTGCCTTTGGGATTGGTTTATCTAATTTAATTTTATATTTGATATCTAAGTCAGCATCTCAGTTGGCATTTATTATAAACAATAACACTATCCTACTGACTCAACCGGGATAAATATTTTCCTTCCCTTCTTGGTATCTTGACGGGAATGAAGAATTCGTAATCTAATGAATAAAAGATAACCTCTTTCTCCTTCCTAGTTTCCTTCCATTCCCCAGGTGTTGTATTACTCCTTATGGATTAGCGCTTCAACAAGCATCTATATGCTTAGTTTTTCTCACAGTAATAACATCAGATTAAAAACAGTCACAGCCGCCCTATGTATCTACAGCTAGAGCCTTAATTCCTATTTTTTCTTCAGATGCGAAGAGCAGGATACACCTGGTTATTACGCAGACCAGGAGACACAGTGCCAAGTATTCCACATCTGCGTGACAGAGGGTAGTCATATCCAGCGGTACTCATTCCTCTGCCCAAATGGCACCATCTTCCACCAGCAGTATATGGTGTGTGTCTGGTGGTATAACTTCGACTGCTCTCTGGCTTCTACCTACTACAGCATCAATGCTCTCATCTTCAGTGGAGAGGATTTGCCTCTCCTTCCACAGGCTGGGGATTCGTTCTTTAGTGGCGGGATTCCCTCGCAAGGTGCAGCACAGCTTAGAGGAGCTCTAGGAGGGAAACAAATTGGTTTTATGGGTCAGCAGTTTAGTTCGACAGCTACACTGTCTGCTTCCACAAGATCAAGGCTTGGCTCAGAAGTACAACAAAGCAGTTCGATGGAAGAGGGGCCTAGCTCAACGGGAATACAAGCCAGTTTAACACAAGAAAGAACTGGTCCAGCACGAAGTCAAGCCAGTTCAACACGAGGAGGACCTGGATCAACAGGAAGAGGAGTCAGTACAACACAAGGAGCTACTTCAACAGGAAAACAAGCTAGTTTAACACAAGGAAGAGCTGGCTCAACAGAAAAATACACCACTTCGACACAAGAAAAAGTTGACTCTTCGCTAAACCTCGATTCCTCACGAGACCTGGATAGATTTGATAGCCCAGTTGGTGGAGACCCAGTTCACAAAGGAGGACAATTTGAAAATGACTTTGGTCAGAGTGGTTTCGATTCGCCAGATTTGCTAGGAAACCGCATTAGAGACAAAGGATTCAGTGCAGGATTCAGTGGACTCATTTCTGAAAAGAGCACGACAGCATTTAAGTCCATCCCAGAGCCCAGTGGCTTAGACCATGGAGATGGCCAAGGACCAAGGAAATTCGGCTCAGACCAAGCCCAAAGCTACCAGTTAGAGCAAAGACAAAAGCTTAGTCCAAGTCAAAGGCAAGATGGAGTAGATTCAGATGCAACACAAAAAGAATTCAGCGTAGACGAAAAACTAGAAGGATTCATTTCGAATCAAGAGCAAGGAGGTTTCAGTTCGAATCAAGAACAAGGTTTCAGTTCGAGTCCAGAACATGGAGGAGTTGGCTCCATCTCAGGACAAGGAGAATTTGATTTAGATCACAATACAGAAGACTTCATTTCAAATAACGATAAAGTGGTGTTCAAATTAGTTCAAAGTAAAACAGGGTCCAGTTTAGAGCAATCTCAAGGCGGATTCGATACAGATGAAGGCAGAGGATTCGGAACAAATCAAAAGCAACAAGGAAATGGCCTAGAACGATTACAAGGAGGAAGTGGATTAGATCAAGTACATAAAGGATTCACTTCAGATGAAGAATATAAAGATTTTGATTCAGATCAAGGACAAGGACTTGGTATAGGTCAAGTACAAGGGCAAGAATCGGATCAAGGACAAATAAGATTAAGTTCAGATCAAGGACAAATAGGAGTCACCTCAGATCAAGGACAAATAGGATTCAGTTCAGCTCAAGGACAAACAGGATTCAGTTCAGATCAAGGACAAATAGGATTCAGTTCAGATCAAGGACAAATAGGAGTCACCTCAGATCAAGGACAAATAGGATTCAGTTCAGCTCAAGGGCAAACAGGATTCAGTTCAGATCAAGGGCAAACAGGATTCAGTTCAGATCAAGGACAAACAGGATTCAATTCAGATCAAGGACAAATAGGATTCAGTTCAGCTCAAGAACAAACAGGATTCAGTTCAGCTCAAGGACAAACAGGATTCAGTTCAAATCAAGGACAAATAGGATTCAGTTCAGATCAAGAGCAAAAAGGACTCAGTTCAGATCAAGGTCAAATAGAACTCAGTTCAGATCAAGGACAAATAGAGCTCAGTTCAGATCAAGGACAAACAGGATTCAGTTCACATCAAGGACAAACAGGATTCAGTTCACATCAAGGACTAATAGGATTCGGTTCAGATCAAGGACAAATAGGATTCAGTTCAGATCAAGGACAAACAGGATTCAGTTCAGATCAAGGACAAACAGGATTCAGTCCAGATCAAGGACAAACAGGATTCAGGCCAGATCAAGGCCACGGAAATCTCGATGTTGATCAAGATAAGGGATTTGTCTCAGGTCGAGAACACAGCACTCAGTCAGACGAACAATATGTAATTGTTAGTGACCTGGGTGAAGGTGGACCTGGTATTGACCAGGTACAAGGAGGATTAAGTATTGATCAGGTACAAGGAGGATTAAGTATTGATCAGGTACAACGAGGATTAAGTAGTGACCAGGTACAAGGAGGATTAAGTAGTGATCAGGTACAAGGAGGATTAAGTATTGATCAGGTACAAGGAGGATTAAGTATTAATCAGGTACAAGGAGGATTAAGTAGTAACCAGGTACAAGGAGGATTAAGTATTGATCAGGTACAAGGAGGATTAAGTAGTGACCAGGTACAAGGAGGATTACGTAGTGATCAGATACAAGGAGGATTAAGTATTGATCACGTACAAGGAGGATTAAGTAGTGACCAGTTACAAGGAGGATTAAGTAGTGACCAGGTACAAGGAAGATTAAGTATTGATCAGGTACAAGGAGGAGTAAATATTGATCAGGTACAAGGAGGATTAAGTAGTGACCAGTTGCAAGGTGGATTAAGTATTGATCAAGTACAAGGAGGATTAAGTATTGATCAGGTACAAGGAGGATTAAATAGTGACCAGGTACAAGGAGGAATAAGTAGTGATCAGGTACAAGGAGGATTAAGTAGTGACCAAGTACAAGGAGGATTAAATAGTGACCAGATACAAGGAGGATTAAGTACTGAACGGGTACAAGGAGGAATTGGTAGCGACCAGGTACAAGGATTTGGTAGTGACCAAGTACAAGGAAGATTAGTTAGTGAGGTACGAGCAGGATTGGGTACTAGTCAAGAACACGCAGGATTGGGTACTAGTCAAGAACAAGCAGGATTGGGTACTAGTCAAGAACAAGCAGGATTGCGTTCTAGTCAAGAACAAGAAGGATTGAATAATCAAGTACTATCAGGATTGGGTGTTGATCAGGTACTAGCAGGATTGGTTAGTGACCAGTTACAAAGTGGAATCAGCCTCAATGAAGGACATGGAGGAATTGATTCAGATCAAGTACAAAGACACCAGTATAATTCAGGCTCAGCAGCAGTCACTAGTGACCAAGGACACGGACACGCAAAGGTATCAGATGGAACACAAGAAGGCTCTTTAATAGCAGATAAGAAACAAATAGTAGTAGTAGTAGCTACTAGCCAGGAGAAAGATTACCAAACAAGTCAAGGACCGTCTGCCCTTCTTAGTGGTCAAGAAGAGGCAGGATTTGTTAGTGATCAAGAACAGGGAGGATTTGTTAGTGATCAAGAACAGGGAGGATTTGTTAGTGATCAAGAACAGGGAGGATTTGTTAGTGATCAAGAACAGGGAGGATTTGTTAGTGATCAAGAACAGGGAAGATTTGTTAGTGATCAAGAACAGAGAGGATTTGTTAGTGATCAAGAAGAGGTAGGATTTGTTAGTGATCAAGAACAGGGAGGATTTGTTAGTGATCAAGAACAGGGAGGATTTGTTAGTGATCAAGAACAGGGAAGATTTGTTAGTGATCAAGAACAGAGAGGATTTGTTAGTGATCAAGAACAGAGAGGATTTGTTAGTGATCAAGAACAGAGAGGATTTATTAGTGGTAAAGAACAGGGAGGATTTGTTAATGATCAAGAACAGGGAGGATTTGTTATTGGTCAAGAACAGGGAGGATTTGTTAGTGGTCAAGAACAGGAAGGATTTGTTAGTGGTCAAGAACAGGGAGATTTAGTTAGTGGTCAAGAACAGGGAGGATTTGTTAGTAGTCAAGAACAGAGAGGGTTAGTTAGTGGTCAAGAACAGGAAGGATTTATTAGTGGTCAAGAACAGGGAAGGTTAGTTAGTGGTCAAGAACAGGGAGGGTTAGTTAGTGGTCAAGAACAGGGAGGATATAATATTGGAGAAGGTCAGGGAGGATTTGTTAGAGGTCAAGAACAGGGAGGATTTGTTAGTAGTCAAGAACAGGGAGGATTTATTAGTGGTCAAGAACAGGGAGGGTTAGTTAGTGGTCAAGAACAGGGAGGGTTAGTTAGTGGTCAAGAACAGGGAACGTTAGCTAGTGGTCAAGAACTGGGAGGATTTGTTAGTGGTCAAGAACAGGGAGGGTTAGTTAGTGGTCCAGAGCAGGGAGGGTTAGTTAGTGGTCAAGAACTGGGAGGATTTGTTAGTGGTCAAGAACAGGAAGGATTTATTAATGATCAAGAACAGGGAGGATATAATATTGGAGAAGGTCAGGGAGGATTTGTTAGAGGTCAAGAACAGGGAGGATTTGTTAGTAGCCAAGAACAGGAAGGATTTATTAGGGGTCAAGAACAGGGAGGGTTAGTTAGTGGTCAAGAACAGGGAGGGTTAGTTAGTGGTCAAGAACAGGGAAGGTTAGTTAGTGGTCAAGAACAGGGAGGATTTATTAGTGGTCCAGAGCAGGGAGGGTTAGTTAGTGGTCAAGAACTGGGAGGATTTGTTAGTGGTCAAGAACAGGGAGGGTTAGTTAGTGGTCAAGAACAGGGAGGATTTATTAGTGGTCAAGAGCAGGGAGGGTTAGTTAGTGGTCAAGAACTGGGAGGATTTGTTAGTGGTCAAGAACAGGGAGGGTTAGTTAGTGGTCAAGAACAGGGAGGATTTATTAGTGGTCAAGAGCAGGGAGGGTTAGTTAGTGGTCAAGAACTGGGAGGATTTGTTAGTGGTCAAGAACAGAGAGGGTTAGTTAGTGGTCAAGAACATGGAGGATTTGTTAGTGGTCAAGAACAGAGAGGGTTAGTTAGTGGTCAAGAACTGGGAGGATTTGTTAGTGGTCAGGAACAGGGAGGATTTGTTAGTGGCCAAGAACAGGGAGGATTTGTTAGTGGTCAAGAACAGAGAGGGGTAGTTAGTGGTCAAGAACAGGGAGGATTTGTTAGTGGTCAGGAACAGGGAGGATTTGTTAGTGGTCAAGAACAGGGAGGATTTGTTAGTGGTCAAGAACAGGGAGGATTTGTTAGTGGTCAAGAACAGGGAGGATTTGTTAGTGGTCAAGAACAGGGAGGATTTGTTAGTGGTCAAGAACAGGGAGGATTTGTTAGTGGTCAAGAACAGGGCGGATTTGTTAATGGTCAAGAACAGGGAGGATTTGTTAGAGGTCAAGAACTGGGAGGATTTGTTAGTAGTGAAGAACAGAGAAGGTTAGTTAGTGGTCAAGAACAGGGAGGATTTATTAGTGGTCAAGAACAGGGAGGGTTAGTTAGTGGTCAAGAAAAGGGAGGGTTAGTTAGTGGTCAAGAACTGGGAGGATTTGTTAGTGGTCAAGAACAGGGAGGATTTGTTAGTGGTCAAGAACAGGGAGGGTTAGTTAGTGGTCAAGCACTGGGAGGGTTTGTTAATGGTCAAGAACAGGGAGGGTTAGTTGGTGGCCAAGAACAGGGAAGATTAGTTATTGGTCAAGAACTGGGAGGATTTGTTAGTGGTCAAGAACAGGGAGGGTTAGTTAGTGGTCAAGAACAGGGAGGATTTGTTAGTGGTCAAGAACAGGAAGGGTTAGTTAGTGATCAAGAACAGGGAGGGTTAGTTAGTGGTCAAGAACAGGGAGGGTTAGTTAGTGGTCAAGAACAGGGAGGATTTGTTAGTGGTCAAGAACAGGGAGGATTTAGCAGTGGACATAAACAGGAAGGACATCCAGGAGATCAAGATGTGCATGGAGTATTAGGTCTTAGCCAGGGACTAGAACAAAGAGGTTATGAATCAGACAAAGGACGAGGATTATTGAACACAGTTCAAAGCCATGATGGCACTCAGAATGATGGAAGCTATCAGGGAAATAAGGGTCATACGGCACTGGGTTTAGTCCAGATCCAAAATGGTTTGGGTCTCAGAAGTTCCGTGGGTGACTTGAGAGAGAGTATTGCTGGCCAGTCTGAGACTAGTTTTGGGAACGGAGAAAGTTTCACTGGTCAAACTAAATTTAGAGTAGGCCAGACGCAAACAAATTTAAGTTCCCCGAGTCAGCGTGACTTTGTTTCTGATCAAATCAGTGGACACATCGTCGGGCCCGACCAAAATACACTTCAGCAAAGCAACTTCGGTCACTTTGTAATCACTGGCCAGGGCCAACTTATCCAAGATTCGAAGACACAGGGAGTGCAAGAAGCATATAACAATGCCTCCCCAACGCCAGTCTTGCCTTCTATTCATCGAGTTCCCTCACCGTCACAAGATTCAAGTTCTGACTTCAGATCTAGTCAATTTGATTCTCAAGTCGTGAGGCTAGAAAGTGAGGGTCTCATTGTTGACGACAAATTCTCGTCTGATGTAATAACTCCTCAAAATAATGAGTTTCAGGTCAACAATAATTTCCAGAGTACCAGCGGTAATAATTTCCAGGTTGCAGGTATCTTTACTACTAGTCCTGTGGATAGTAACAAAGATGTGGGCTATCAGACAGGTGCTCAAGACCAGGCTGGTCATGTCCTTCCAAATGTAGTTTTCTCTACCACAGGAAATGTTCTGGGGAGTGAGATTTTCTTAGCAGATAACATATCAACACATGAAGCTTTTCTAAACAGCCAAATCAATCAGAACCAATTTCAAAACCAGAATCAATTCCGGAACAACCAAGTGAATGAATTCCAAAAGGAAAGCAAATTGCAGACCCCTGGAAGCCATCTTCATGGCACTCAGAACCTGTTCCAGAGCAGCCAAGGTCAGTTCCAGAAACAATATCAGTTACAAATCAGCCAGAGTCAGGACCAAAGCACCCAGAGTCGATTCAAGGATATTCAGGATCATTTCAAAAATAATCAAATTCCTCTGCAGAATATTATTGTGCAAAAGGCAACCGAAGTACACGCATCACAAGACTTTAATTACAATACTCCGTCGCCACACTTCCCCAAGTCTGAAAATGCGGCAGATCTTACGAGCAGTATCAACGAAGGCTTCCAGGAATCTGCCCAAGGTGTCTCGCCTAATCCATCCGTTTCTACTGTAAACTCTGGATTTTTAACTGACGTTCATTCAAGTATTTCCAACCAAATCGAATCAGCTCCTAGCTATAACGATGACACATTTGCGCAAACATTCACCCCACTTCAACCAGAGACTTCCAACCTTCCGGCAGACTCTGTTAGGTCTGGTGTCTCTGGGTTACAAGGTCTCAATCTTCTGCAAACGAGTTCTCAGGGTGGAAGTGATGCCTCAGGAGCCAGAATAGTTTCTTCGTCAGGGGCCACTAACACCGCATTTGAAATCAGTCCTCTGAGCACGTTAATTCCTCCTACCAGGGAGTTTACCCCTTCCGCAGCTGACAATCCACAGAATTCCGTGTTTGTATTCCAGTCGTCAAGTAGAGACGATCCCTCTCAGAGTTCATTCTCCCAGTCTCCCGCTCCTCTTTCCTTTGTTAATAACTTCAAGCAGGAGGTTGCAGCTCCCAGTACCCAAAATAAGCAATCACCATTTACTTTAACAGCCAAACATAGTGCTGTGCCCTCTATTGACCTGTCTGGTCTGCAGTTAGGGTACCTTCCACCTGCTATTGGTATCTCAAAGGTCAATACCAATACCATCATTTCGTCTCCCTCTTCCTCATCGTTATCTCCATCTTCTCAAGGCTTTCTCACTTCAGCACCAGCAGGGGTCTCTACTACTTCCTCATCGTCGCCATTCTCAGGATCTTTTTCCTCTTCAGTCTCTGTGAGTGGTCAAGGGCCTTACCAAGGCGCTTCTCAAGGGTCGGCATCAGTCTCAAGTTCTACTTCAGCCTCCTCCCAAACTCATGGGTCATCATTTTCCTCATCTCCGGCCTCATTCCTGTCAATTTCTTCTTCTCCTTCGGCATCTGCACCGCATGGTTCACCTTCAGCGTTTTCAGTTTCTCCAGCATTTATACATCCTTTATTCTCCACATCATTAGCATCTCTTCCCTCCTCCTCTTCCTCCTCTTCTACGGGCGTAGCATCACCCCTGCCTACGTCTTCCTCGTCTGGACTCTTAACCAGCGGGAACCAGCAGCAGGGTAATAAAATCCTCTTAACGAATGGCAACAGCATTATGATTGGAGCTCCAAGGGGAGTGGTGCTGCCGCTAGAGAAACACTATCTCCCACCAGCAGCCAGAGACGCCTCTCGTGACACCCGTGAAATCACCAGCCATGAAACAAAGATTTATGTCACTCCCGTCCCGCCAGTGGAAAACAGGATGAAACAACAGCGGATTCTCCATAGGCCAATAAGCCGTCGAGTCTTCCGCCCATCAGTACAGGTTACCGAAGACATGAACATGGAAGAGTTTACACCGAAGAAGCTTCCGTTGGGGAGGCTCTTCCGCTCTTCCAGCATGAAGAATAACGGAAACAGAAGTACTTACGTGCGCAGCTCAAGCAAGTCCGAAGCGACGTCATCGCCAGTCAATAACTACAGGCTGTCCTGGAAGCCTAGTAGAGCGAGCCAAACATAAATTATTTCTTCGTGTAGACCGTATTTTGACGACGGAGATGAATTTCGAAAGTCATGTTATTTGGTGCGAATTTAGATGTAAGTTAGGTTAAGTTGCCAGGCGTATTGACTAATACCAGAGCCTAGTGCTGTGCACTGCTCTTTCTACCCAGTCTTTCTGTACAGAATCCTTGTATTACACTGTTGATATCAGGAAAATCAAAGTTGTCCCCACAAAAAAAAAAACTCGAACTACAAGGATTCTGTGCTCTTGTAATTAAATTATTAACTAATTTCCTACCTGGGGCACCCTCGTAGCTGGTCAGCGAGGAAGGTCGTTGTTGTGATAGGACAGTGTCTGTTGTTAGTGTGTGTGCTTCTCAAGTGTATTCTCAGCAGTTATATATTAAATGATTAATTTTGTAAATGTGTGTATCATTTTCAACCCTACTGGTAGTCATGCTCATCTTCATTTTACACTCAAATATATGTGATAGTACCTAATGGAAAGTGCTAACTAAACAGATGTTGGTAAGAAAATGCTGGAATTTTAACTATTTATTTTGATGGGCAGAACAGGAGCTTAATTCTGTAAGTGTTAATGTCACGAGCAGTTAATTTAAGCAATGGGGAGGAAAATGAAAAAAGAAATTGATAGAATTTTGACTGGAGTGTCTTTAGGCCTAGATGCTGTTAGTTGGAATAAGGAAACCATTGAATGAAGATGCGAAGCCTGAAGGGCCCACTATAAGGTTCCTTAATGATAGCAGTAACATCCAGAGGTGTTAACTCGCTGACTGGTATGGAGGAAAGAAAGAAGGGAAAGAGAAAGAGCCCTTGGGACAATTTGATGAACCTATACCACGGGAGGGGATTGAACTCGTGGCGAGTGAGTCGTAAGACTCCAGGCCAGAGCGTAAGCCACTGCACCAGCTGGCTACAGTTTGATGCCCAGCTGCTGTAGCAACCGACAGGGTCTGCAGTGCTAACGCCAGCAACCGTTGTGACGAGCAACAGATTCGAAAAGCGACGTGTTATCATGGAAAAAGCCATGTGTATGGTCGAGGTAAAGCCACGGTCAGAGGGTTAGCCAGAACACCGACACCGGAGTCAGGCAACGAGGTGTTGCCCAAAAGAAGTACCAGGCTGGAGGGAAGGCCCGTGGGTGGGTAGCGGTCAGGTGCAGGTGCTGCAGGGGTAAGGGACCCGGAAGCATTTCTTCAGCCTTTGAGTTGTCAGGAAGTGGAATAATCTGGGGAATGAAGCAGAGGAAGCAGGATCCATATTGGCTTTAAGATGGGGTATGATAAGGCTCTTGGAGCAGGGAGAGAGTGAACCTAGTGGCGACTAGAGAAGAGGCGTGGCCAGGAGCTATGACTCCACCTTTACAACCACAAATATGTGAGCACACACTCATACACACATTCATACACAACACACTAACTACCAGACCACACACGACAAACCCCAACCCTCCCCCCACACACACACAAATATAAAAATTCACCAGTGCTTTGTACGTGATGGACAAATTCTAGTAAGAAAAGCAAATGTAGGCCGTGTGTACTACATTACAAATGAAAATGAACTAGCGAACTTCCTTCATGATGCAAATATTACAGAGTCTGATATTAGTGACCAAATCCTTACTACGTTAGTATATGTTACTATGTCATTATTGAACTAATCCCTGTACTATCACCTCCTAGATAGTATTTACTACCTCATTATCCCAGGTGTCCCACACAGTTCTTTATGTGACCCAATTTGTGTTATCTTCCCAGATTCCCAATTCACAATTTATTCTTTGTTAATAGTACACTTACTCTTTAATAATATCTGTATTACCTTTTTCTTTCCTACTTAAGCACTGTTAAAATTCTCTTACAATCATACCTAATTTTCCCTTTACTCCCAAACTACAAATAACAAACTAGTGTATGTTCCTACTACACTACTATGCAATACCTTGAACCATCCCTCACTAGCTAGTATCAACTACCTCAAATAATATTCCTATAGTGATATTAATTGCTCAAACTTTATGCTATTAGGCAATTCCTACTCTCAGATTATTTTCATATCTTAGTGACTATATTGTGTGTGCAATTAGTATATATTTCAATTACATTATTGTTCAAGGCCCAAAACTATCTTTTGCTGCTACTACCAACTACCTCATATTAGTTTTTACTTTTTATAGAACAATAAATTGCTCAACTTATTATATATAACAAATCAGATCTTACTCCCAGATCAATATTATATCTTAGTTACTATCTGCCAATTTAACTTTGTTTACCATTATTTAATTTAGTCCCTATATATTTTCTCCTTTATTTTAGCTTTAATATAGCTTTCCATATCAACCTTAGTTCATATATTCACAATTGTTAAAATAATCAAGGTGCTATTCTCAGGTGCTAAAGTGTATTAAGTTCACTATTTTCCCATTATATTCCCTAGCTCATTTATTTGATTACCACTTTATTTCTTCACTATAAATTTTTTTTAGTCCCTTTTATATTGTCTCCTTTATTTTAGCTTTAAAGAATTACCTTAGCTCAAATTTTTACTTTTGTTAAAATAACTCAGGTGCTATTTATAGCTTTAGAATATTTACTTTGTGTTATACTTAATTCTAACTATACATTCACTATAAATCTTATAATAACAAGCATTGATCCTGATACCAACCTCTTATTGAATGACTTAAATGAATCAAACAGTAACTGTAATTACTACACAGCAAAACAATCAAAGGTACTTCTCAGAGCCAACAACAACATAACTGTCTTTAACTACAATATCAGATCTTTAAGTAAACATTACGGTGACCTCATAGCATTACTAAATTCCCTGCATGCCAGCATGTCCATCATTACTCTCACCGAAACCTGGCTGAAGCCTGATACTACAGATGTCTATGCCATTCCTGGTTACACAGCCATACACAACTGTAGGACAGATCAACAAGGGGGTGGCACAGCTATATACTACTCAGACCAACTAGAATGTATCACTATTACTTGCACAAGGGATGAACATGGGGAATATATAATAGCTAAATTCAAATCCAAATATCTACGAAAACCTCTCACAGTGATAAACATCTACAGAGTACCACAGTCAAACATTAGCCGTTTTAGTGACAACCTAGGAAGTATGATAACTGATGCATGCATGAATGAACATCACTTACTACTCTCAGGTGACTTCAATATAAATCTCCTGCAAGATCAGGACCCACACGTTACTGAATTCACAAACACTGTGAGTAACTGCATGTTGCTACCAGCAGTAACAAAACCTACAAGAGTTACAGAGACTAGTGTTTCCCTACTTGACCACATCTGGACCAACACCATATCCCCTTTAAAATCAGGCATAATCACAGATAATACCACAGATCACTACCCTACCTTCCTCATCACAAATCTTGGGAAATTACCCCAAGACACTACTAAAGTCACTTTCAGACTTCACAATGAGGCAGCCATTAATAACTTCACAGCAGCAGTGACAAACATTGACTGGCACACTGAGCTAGAAATCTATACAGATATTGACGAATGTATTAATAATTTTCTTAAAAAAGAAACAATACCTTTATAACAAGCACTGCCCCCCAAAAACTAAACAGATGACAGCTAAGAGACTGAACAGTCCCTGGCTAACACCCAGCATCCTCAAATCCATAAATACAAAGCACCTATACGAAAAACAGTACAGAATGGGTCACATAACCAGAGACCAAACAAAACGTTACTCGTCAATTCTAACCAGCCTGATAAGAAGGGCTAAAAAACTGTATTATGAGAACAGATTATCCAACTTACGAGGTTATATAAAAAAGACCTGGAAAACTCTATCATAAATTCTAGGAACAAAAAAGATATCACGAAATAGCGAAATTGAATTAACAACACCAGAGGAGCCCAAATTCCCACCAACTGAAACAGCAGACTCAATAATTTTTTCTCCACTATAGGAAAAAACCTTGCTAATAAAATCCCAAGCTCAGATACCTCACCCAATGACTACCTCAATGGCAACTACCCAAACACACTGTTCCTAGCTCCGACTAACCCTACTGAAGTCTCCCTTATTATCAACACACTAAAAAACAAGGCAGGAGATTTAAATATCTTACCACCCTTTATATACAAAAAAGTGTCACAGGTACTATCACCAATCATTGCAGCACTCTTTAACAAATCCATAGAATCCTCTACCTTCCCTACAGTTCTCAAAATAGCAAGGGTCACCCCGATCCATAAAGGAGACCAAACAGACTTGAATAACTATAGGCCAATATCCAACTTACACCCTCTCTCTAAAATCTTCGAAAAATTAATTCATAAGCGAATCTATTCTTATCTCATCTCCCACAACATACTCAACCCCTGTCAATTTGGGTTCAGGCCTAATAAAAATACTAATTATGCTATTATACACATGCTAGAACACATACACTGCAATAGAGAAAAAAGAAGTCCCACTGGGGATCTTCATTGACTTACGTAAAGCTTTTGATACAGTTGACCATGACTTGCTCCATATAAAGTTGTCGCATTATGGTATAAGAGGGCACTCCCTCAACTACCTAAAGTCATACCTCAGCAACAGAAGCCGATATGTGTACACAAACGGGGCAAACTCTTCCGCACAGCCAATTACAGTTGGTGTCCCACAGGGAAGTGTCCTTTGCCCTCTTCTCTTTCTCATATACTTAAATGACCTACCAAATGCATCGCAACTACTCAAACCCACACTATTTGCAGATGACACTACGTCTTCTCTCACCCGAGCCCAGTCACGCTAGCCAATACTATAAATACCGAATTACAGAAAATATCTACCTGGATGAGTACTAACAAACTTACTCTAAACATTGACAAAACTTACTTCATTCAGTTTGGTAACAGAGCTACAGACGTCCCTCTTAACATAATGATAAACGGATCACCTATTACAAAATTCACAGAGGGAAAATTTTTAGGAATCCACCTTGATAATAGACTCAAATTTCAAACACATATACAACAAATTTCCAAAAAAAATTCCAAGACCGTAGGCATACGATAGAAGATACGGTACTATGTTCCACAGTCAGCCCTCCTGGCCCTATATCACTCACTTATTTACCCCTATCTCACCTATGGAATTTGTGCATGGGGCTCAACAATAAACCATCTCAGACCATTAATTATCCAACAAAAGGCTGCAGTCAGAATGATAACAAATTCCCACTACAGGCAGCACACTCCACCAATATTCAAAACTCTAAACCTACTCACCTTACAAAACATCCATACTTATTACTGCACCTATTACATACATAGAACACTTAACTCTGATATAAACCCTCCCCTCAAACGTCTCCTTACCAACCTCAACAGAACACATGACCATAACACAAGGCACAGATCACTCTTTGATGTTCCTCGTGTCCATCTCACGCTATGCAAAAACTCAATGCACATAAAAGGCCCTAAAATCTGGAATTCATTACCTGTGAATATAAAAGAAACACTATCTGTTTATAAATTCAAGTCTCTTCTCAAAAATCACTTACCCGCAAGTAAATAAATACTGAATAATTGTATCTCATAACTGTATCTCATAAATGTTTCTCATTATTGTATCTCATAAATGTCTAACCTGTGACCCAATCAAACTTTATTTTTTAATTACATTACCTAACAGAATACTCCATTCTATTGAATGCTCAGCAACACAGTAAATGACCATATGACCTGTCTTTGCAATACTCATCTGTGCTAAATTGTTATCTGTTTACAATAATGCTTTTACCACTGAATATATCATTGCTTAGTTAATCTTAAGTTAATTTTAAGCCTTCCCATAATGCTCTGCATACAAGGGGCTTTGGCATGTTGCACTGTAATAACTGTATTCCTTCGTACTTCACTGTATCATGTTCAAATTAATTAAATAATAAATAATAAATATACATCTCAGGCCAAGTGTCTATCGACAGGTACTTTGACAACTAATAATTGCAAACACACACACACACAGTCAGGTGACATACTTCAAGTGCAATGACATGAGTGACGATCCTGGAATAACTCTGACCTTCACTGAGCCGCGTCTTACGGAAGAGGATAAGACGGGAAGAGACAGCGACAGCGGCTCTCCACCGCTAACAAGATCAACCCTCAAGCTGGGTGTGTGTATATGAAGCAGCGTGACGACGGCTGTCGGAACACCAGCTTCACACGGAGACTCACGTCGCAGCTGCTGCTCTCTAGAGCTCACTAACACTCTCATGGTTACTGCCGTCAAGGTCTTCAAAAAGACTGCCCCTAATGGTGAGTGAAAGATTAATTATTAACTGTAAATATAGGATAAAAAGGCTCCCCCAGATACTGAGTGAAAGAGTGATTATTAATTGTAAATATGAAAACAAAAGACTGCCCTAATGTCGAGTTAAAGACTGATTATTAACTTTAAATATGGGGAAAAAAAGATTGCCTCTAGTGTTGAGGGAAAGACTGATTAGTAACTGTAAATATGGGGAAAGCACTAAATCCGTCAGGGTCACACAGCGCCTGGTAAACAGCAAACTATGTAGGAATTGTTCTCTCTTCTGAGGGAGTTCCTTGAAGTCTTTCGAAGATCACTTCATCCAAGGAACTGGAGCTACCCTACCTTTTCTCGCATCAAACTTCTAATTTCCGGGTGCTGTATAACACACATGGATTTAGCGTTTCCTGGTGATCACAATAAAAATATTTGGTACTGCTCTGAGATAACTAATTACCGTTAACACTTTCATTATCTCTCATAATCATAATTGTCATAATCATCAGTCACAATGATCATCATAATCAACATAATCATAGTTATGAACTGTTGCGTCTAGATTATTGTGGGTTACTTGTGAATTATTGCAGCCACGATACTGGTGGTTACTTGTGAATTATTGCAGCCACGATACTGGTGGTTACTTGTGAATTATTGCAGCCACGATACTGGTGGTTACTTGTGAATTATTGCAGCCACGATACTGGTGGTTACTTGTGAATTATTGCAGCCACGATACTGGTGGTTACTTGTGAATTATTGCAGCCACGATATTATGGGCTAGCTGTGAATATTGTAAGAAACTGTATTGTGAGTTGTAAACTGTTGCAGCCACTATATTATGAATTCTATTCTTCAATAGGTAAGGTCACCGCGTACCTAAGTCGTCGGGACTTCGTGGACGACCTAAGCCACACCTCCCCAGTGGATGGTGTGGTGGTGGTGGACCATGATTATCTTCGTGGGCGGCGGGTGTTCGCCCGCGTGGTGGTCACCTACCGCTACGGGCGTGAGGAGGATGAGGTGATGGGTCTCCACTTCAGCAAGGAAATCGAGCTGGTTAACATCGAAGTGGCTCCCAACGCTGGTGTAGAGGAACTTAACGAGGTTCAGCAGCGTCTCCTCAAGAAGCTTGGTGCTAACGCCTATGCCTTCAGCGTGGTGCTGCCCCACAATGCCCCGTGCTCCGTCACTATTGATGGTGGAGATGATTACTCTGTAAGTATATGTTTTCAGTCGCTTTATTATTGGTATGATGCAGAAAACGCGTTTATTCTCAATATTCAATCCTGAAAAAAAAATAGTAATTTAATGATTCACGACATACGCTAAGCGGGAAGAAGTTTTATAAATAACGAGTAAAAAGTCAATACCGTGGCTGGTACAATAAATATTTATTAGACTTTAAAGCGCTCTCTGACTTCACTGATCCCTCTGATTTTAGCACTTTCTGAAATTCCCACCTTAAATGAAGAGTTACTTGACATTTTAAGACAAATTATACAACACCCTGACCATTAAATGTTTACATTGTTATCAACAGAGCCAACCCTTGGGTGTGATCTATGATCTTAGGCTCTATGTGGCTGATCGTAAGCAAGAGAAACCACACAAGCGAAACTCTGTTGGCTTTGCCGTGCGCAAGGTTCAGTATGCCCTTGCTGAACTCAGTGCTCGTCAGCCCCAAACGACGGTTACGAAGAGCTTCACCTTCTCCCCTGGTAAGCTCACCATGGAAGTCAGCCTTGACCGTGGCATGTACTTCCACGGACAGGTTGTGGAGGCTCGTCTAAACATTAGCAACGCTTCCAAGAAGACTGTGAAGAACATCAAGGCCCAGATCGTGCAGCATGTGGAGGTCACCATGACTAACAGCCATTTTAGTCGTGTTGTGTCCTCGCTGGAGTCCCGTGAGGGCTGTCCCATCACTCCTGGAGCTAATCTCACCAAGACCTTCTCTCTCACTCCCCTCGTGTCCAATCAGAAGGGCTTCGGCATCGCCTTAGACGGCCAAGTCAAAGACCAGGATGCCAACCTGGCCTCCTCCACCATGGTGGCAGCCGGCAAGAACGTCAACGATGCTCTGGGTATTATCGTATCCTACTCTCTCCGTGTGAAGCTGAACTGTGGCGCCATCGGCGGTGAACTGACTGCGGACCTGCCCTTCAAGCTGGTGCATCCTGACCCCTACGCCAGCAAGGCAGTACTTCGCAAGATGCAGTCCACTGATAACATCGAATACGAAGAGTTCGCTCGTCTCCGACGCGGCCAGTCAGTCGCTGAAGAATAAGTGTTGATGAAATTGGTATTAATACCAGCCACTTGATGAGCAACACATGTACAACAAATGGCGATCATCACTGCTGATACCCAACTGTTGCACATGTTTCTTATTCATCAATAAGTGTATTAAAATCATCTTTCTTCTTTTTCTCGATTATCTTTAGTTTTATTTATTTATATATTTATGTCTTTGCAAATAGTACATTGAGTTTTGTAATTGGCTGCGAAAAGTTGTAGTGAAATTAATGTAATCTTCCGACAGTTAATTTTATTTTTAATCATCATTCATAATGATAATTTAATAATTGGAAAATGCTGATTTTGTTTTATTTATTCCAAAATAATTTTGCAATTGCATCTTTCAAATATCGAATTATATTTTTTTATAATTATTACAATAATAAAAATGTTGTCGTTTCTCTCCATGATTGGCACCATGCCCAGCCCTTCTTGGGCAGGGTAGGTGCCTGACCCAGAGCTTGCAGCTCACAAGACTGTCATTCCAATTAGCCCCCTTGGGGCGGGGATGGCAGACCAGAGAGGCCTAGCTTCTCCCTACGAGCCCCGTGAGGGCGGGGAATGTGGCTAGGCCTGGGGACAGTTGGTCCCAAAGATGAGGGGGTACTTGTACCTCTTCCCATGGGAGACTTAGGTCTCAGACACTCCCTAGATAGGGAGCCAAAGCCGGGCCACCACTTGGAAATGGCCCGGGCCGGGAGAATACCGGCGAATCTTTAATAATAATAATAATAATAATAATAATAATAATAATAATTTCTCTCCATTAGTAAAAATAAAAAACCTGTTTACACTGAAAAGTAAACCAACTTTCACAATGAAATCTTTATAAACAATTATATTCAACAGTAAACCCGAGTGGATCATGCTTGGCAAGGAAGAGTAACGGCTCGATCCTTCGTTTCCTAAGTGCGAGACAGGCAAGTTACCTGGTAGTCCCTTCAAAATGAATGTCATTATGCTGGTGAAGGTATCTTGATCCAAGGAATTGCAGCTACAGTCCCTTTCCTTAAAATCGACCCTGATCACTTCTCGTTCCCCCAGGCACAGTAAGATCTTCGTGAATTTAATATTCCTCATTAATATATAACATAAATAACACAGTCGAAAAACCTCGGTATACGAACTTCATTGTACACTACTTCGTGTTTCTTTGCATTTTTTTGTATTATTTGTATAAATAAGTCACCATGGGGGCCTACGACGATTAGTGATAACAGCCAACCAAACAGATAATTGGTTAGGAAGAACTCGTTCGAACAGCCTTCTGGAATGAATTAAGATCGCATACCAAGGTTCACAGTATTTAATATACACAGCATAACAGGTTGACCAAGAGGAGAAGAAACTCATGCAGGATGTATCTTTATTAGTTAACTACAATAATTATTGAAAGTGATGGCCAGTGAAGTTTTTCCATTCGTGTTCAAGACAAAACTTGTTACTGAGAACTTGTTTTAATGTTTGTATTAATAAAACGTCCACTCTTCTCTGTTGACCTTCGACTCTTCCAGTGCATGAGGCGCGTTTATTTACAATAATCGTTAAAAAAATGTAAATGAAATCTCGCACTGTGAACATCTTGTACTGAATGATTACTGAAATAGAAAGAAAATTAATGTTACAATAATATTTTAATTTCCTCTTTATCATACCTATAAGAGACTACATGTATAAAGGGATTAAGAGTTATTAATTTAATAATTCATGTTAGGCGATAAACAATGTGGGTCATTCAGCGCAAGACATCGTAGAGGCTTCATCCTCCGTCTGCTGAGCACCAGACATACGCACTTCCTATCCGTACTCACCTAGATCTCAAGGGGATTAAAAGAGTATCATTTTTGAGACTTTACGTTAATTATATGAGCTTCTATGCACACGAGTTACCAATAACCAGTGTTTACAGGTTCCCAAGTGGCGCTCTTATCCACTCATCTACAAATGCCACTAAAGCTGGGCAGCCTGGTTCACAAGCCATGTTTCTTTCCCAGCCCGGGCACGTCAGTGAACCACAAGCATGGATTCAAGCTAGTTCAATCTCCTGTATGTTCTGACCTCACATGCGATTTTTTCTACCAATGCACTACGCAGAAACAGGCGGATATATATATAAAGATCGTAGTCAGCAGGACTCGATCCCACTATCCTTTCTAAATCTAAATATATCGAGGCCATCCTTGGATAGATGTCCTTAGTACTTTTTCTGTGTGGGTTCCATACTTTTGCTGCATTCTCTAAGATGACCCTGACAGAAGTTGTACAAAACAATCGGAATGACTTTTTATTGATATTCCTGTAGGTCACTCAGATTTGCAAGGCGAACCATACCACGGGCGGGGTTAGAACTCGCGATCAGAGAGTCTTAAAACTCCAGACCGACGCATTAGCCACCGGGCCAATGGCTAACGCGTCGATCTGGAGTTTTGACTCTCTCTGATCGCGGGTTCTAACCCCACCCGTGGTATGGTTTGTTTGCTATCGTGTCATTACGATTTCATGAGTGAAAATTGTGAAAAGGTGAAAATTGTTTGCCGAAGTTATTCGGTTACTGTGAACCTCTGGCTATATGATAGGAACTGTGTGGAAAAAAGCCACTTATGTACAGTTCAGGACATTTGTTAGAGAAAACGTAGCCCCACGAGTGGCTTAATTTCTAATTTAGAGATAACTACGAACGAGTATATAAAATGGCGGCGGCAGTGGCGACGACAGCAGCGGCAGTGGCGACGACAGCAGTCGGCAGTGGCGACGACAGCAGCGGCAGTGGCGACGACAGCAGTGGCAGTGGCGACGACAGCAGTGGCAGTGGCGACGACAGCAGCGGCAGTGGCGACGACAGCAGTGGCAGTGGCGACGACAGCAGTGGCAGTGGCGACGACAGCAGTGGCAGTGGCGACGACAGCAGCGGCAGCGGCGTCGGTTTTAAACAGTAGTTGAAGAATTGGTAGATATTTTAACAAGTTTTCTGTCAAGTATTTTAGAGGCGTTAGTTGCAACGTCGCTGACCGGTAAAACGATGTAACTGGGAGGATTTCCTTCAACAATGTGTGTAGCACGTTTCCTTCAACGATGTGTGTAGCACGTTTCCTTCAACGATGTGTGTAGCACGTTTCCTTCAACGATGTGTGTAGCACGTTTCCTTCGACGATGTGTGTAGCACGTTTCCCTCAACGATGTGTGTAGCACGTTTCCTTCAGTCACGTACGAAGTGTAGTGAAAAGTATATCGAACAGACTAAATATGTGATGTATGTACATTCTTCCTCGAGGAAGAACTACGGACTGAGAATTCCGTAATCCCTCAGAAAGAATCCTATAACTTTCCTTATTTTAGTCCTAGTACCATGGTGAGAGAAGAATGGACATCTTCAATCATGCGTTAACAAGATACAAGACTTATTAAGCGACATCAACACATACGCTTCCATCTCCCAGCAAACATGGAAGAGACAGAGTATTTAAGACTCGCAGCATACTCAGAAAATCAGAAGGCGAAAAGCTTTTACACCTCGTCCCTGCCAACCCCAGATCAGCGAGGCTTTATGGATTACCGAAGACCCACAAACCAGATGTGACTATGAGACCTGTTATATCTGGTATTGGCAGCACCCCGCAAATCTAGCAGGAATTTTGGCGAAATATTTATCGAGATTTCTGGGTACATTTAGTCAGGCTCACATGAAGCATTCGCGTGACCTTGACCGCGTAAGGGATCGCGACATGAGTGATAGTGTCGACGTCGCTGCTGTATTTACAAATGTTCCGGTTGATCAAGCCATTGATCTTTAAAAAAAAAAAAAAAAAACCATGCCACGGGTGGGGTTAGAACCCGACATTAGAGTATCAAAACTCCAGACCGTCGCGGGTTCTAACCCCACCCGTGGTATGGTTTGTTTGCAATCGTGTCATTACGATTTCGTGAGTCATTGATCCTCTTCGCAGGTCGATTAATGAGGATACAGAGTTACCTGTTCCTTGAAGGATTTTGTGCTCCTTGTCGAAATATGTGTTCGTTTTAACTGTTTTAGATTTGAAGACACAAAGAATAAACTCAATTTCCTGTCATGTTGTTTACATATACAGGAAAAAGTAATGATTCTAGTACTGACAGTGTGGAACTCTACTCGCGTGTGTGACTGGTGATAGTAGTAGTCGTGTGGTAGTAGTAGTAGTAGCAGCAGCAGCAGCAGCAGCAGCAGCAATTAGTAGTAGTAGTAGTAGTAGTAGTAGTAGCAGCTAGTAGTAGTAGTAGTAGTAGTAATAGCAGCAGCAGCAGCAGCAGCAGCAGCAGCAGCATAGCGACACTATGGAATACATAACAAGAACAGCTAGGTGACTAACATCCCTCAAGGGAGGGCCCTTGATAATAGTTAAAGGGCTCTTGATGTAAGGATTTAGCCCTGTGTTCCCCTTCCTGGCATACAACCAGAATACATTCCATGCCCCTAGGCGCTGTATGATCCCTACGGGTTTATTGTTCATATGAATGTAATAATAATTATATCTAATCACACGTTAATATTTAAATCACTAAAATGTGCAAGTTATTGATAAAGCCAGTCAGTGCAGGCAGAGAAAATAAAGTAAGCCAGTCTGTGCAGGTGGAGAAAATAAAGCCAGTCAGTGCAGGAGGTGGAGGAAATAAGGTAAGCCAATCAATGCAGGTGGAAAAAATAAAGCCAGTCAGTGCAGGAGGTGGAGGAAATAAAGTAAGCCAGTCAGTGCAAGAGGTGTAAATAAAGTAAGCCAGTCAGTGCAGGTGGAGAAAATAAAGTAAGCCAGTCAATGCAGGAGGTGCAAATAAAGTAAGCCAGTCAGTGCAGGAGGAAATAAAGTAAGCCAGTCAGTGCAGGAGGTGGAAAAGAAGTAAGCCAGTCAGTGCAGGGGGTGGAGGAAATAAAATAAACCAGTCAGTGCAAGAAGTGGAGGAAATAAAGTAAGCCAGTCAGTGCAGAAGGTAGAAATAAAGCCAGTCAGTGCAGGAGGTGGAAATAAAGCAAGTCAGTACAGGAGGTGGAAATAAAGCCAGGTCAGTGCAGGAGGTGGAAATAAAGCAGTCAGTACAGGAGGTGGAAATAAAGCCAGTCAGTGCAGGAGGTGGAAATAGAGCCAGTCAGTGCAGGAGGTGGAAATAAAGCCAGTCAGTGCAGGAGGTGGAAATAAAGCCAGTCAGTACAGGAGGTGGAAATAAAGCCAGTCAGTGCAGGAGGTGGAAATAGAGCCAGTCGTGCAGTGGGTGGAATAAAGCCAGTCAGTGCAGGAGGTGGAAATAAAGCCAGTCAGTGCAGGAGGTGGAGAAAATTACTAACGGAAACTTTACGCCACTTGTGGGTTCTTCAGTTCTGAGGACTGACGAAGCCGCTCGTGGCAAAACGTTCCCTTCAGTAAACGTCCTGAAGTGCACACAAGTATCTGTGTCCACAACTCGATGAGCTCACAGTATTATTCACCAGCAAGGTCAGCAAGGTCAGCAGGGTCAGCAAGGTCAGCAGGGTCAGCAAGGTCAGCAGGGTCAGCAGGGTCAGCAAGGTCAGCAAGGTCAGCAGGGTCAGTAGGGTCAGCAAGGTCATCAAGGTCAGCAAGGTCAGCAGGGTCAGCAGAGTCAACAAGGTCAGCAGGGTCAGCAAGGTCAGCAAGGTCAGCAAGGTCAGCAGGGTCAGCAGGGTCAGCAAGATCAACAAGGTCAGCAGGGTCAGCAAGGTCAGCAAGCTTGAGTAGTATTTCTGATAAGATCCGGACGCTCTTGGGAAAATACTAATGAGACAGTAAATATGGAATTAAAATACCCCAGCTTTTTTTTCCCCCAAGCCTCCCGTTCGAAAAAAAAATTACTTCCCTATCTCCATGTTTTTCCCAGGGTTGCTAAATTGGGTTTTACCCAATTAGGTTTTCCCCAATTTAGCAACCCTAGCCTTGTTGATCCCTGTAATTCAGTACTGGGATAGATAATTATCTGACTCCCTATAATTGTTTTCACCTTTATATCTATTCTCTTTTGTCTCTCTTCTGTCTCTTCCACTCTGTATCTTTACCCTCTGTCTCTTTTTATCTGTCTGTACCTTCTGACTCACTCTCTTTCCCTTCTGTCTCTCGACGATATCTAGGAGGGGATGACAGGTGAAAGATGGAGGAGGGAGACTCCTCTGTTTCTCATCATTATCTTACACTATCTCTTCAACACTCTCACCTTGTGTCTAAACGTTTCGTCATTTCTCTCCTTTCTCTTCACCTGCTCTTACTTTTCCTTGCTGTCTCTGTACTTTAATTACTGCTTCTGTTTCCACCCCTCGGTTCCTCCTCTATCTCCTTTCTCTCTTTCCCTTTGTCTCTGCCCCTCTTTCTCTCCCGCACTGCTTCTTCCCCTGTATATATAAGTCAGTCTCATGGCTTCCATCTCTCTACATCTCTGTCTCTCCCCTTTTCTCACTCCCTCCTATGTTTCTCTTCTTCTGCGTTTCCTTTGTCTGCACGCTTGTCATTTGATTTGTATCTGTCTCTCCCCCTCTCTCTCTCTCCCCTCTTCTCTCTCCCCCCTCTGTTTCTCCCCTCTGTCTCTCCCCCTCTGTCTCTCCCCATCTGTTTCTCCCTCTCTGTCTCTCCCCTCTGTCTTTCTCCCTCTGTTTCTCCTTATTGTTTCCCCCCTCTTTTTCTTCCCCTTTGTCTCTCTCCCTCTGTTTCTCTCCTGCCTCTCCTCTTCTGTTTCTCCCTTCTGTCTCTTCCCCTCTGTCTCTGCACCCTCTGTCTCTCATCTTCATCTCCTGCTTTGCCTTCCCTGTCTCTTCTCTGACTCTTCTGTCTCCCTCTGATTATCCTCTGACATATCGTCCTCTGTTCATCTCTCCCTGTCTCTCTTAATACCCAACAAGTGTTACCACAGCTCCACCTTATCTGTCAGGAAAAAGTTTGTGAGAACGGAGGCACCTGTCAGGTACCCGTGAGTTGGATAAGTATATTAAGTACCCTCCCCCAAGGCTGGATAAATTTAGCATACCAGTCTCGTGACCTTCCTGTGCTGGGTCACCCTACCATAACCACCTTGTGACCTCTTGGCTGGGTCGCCTCAGTATAACCACCTTGGACCTAAAAGTGACCCTTGTAGGACGCCACTTGTGACTGATCCCCGCTCCGATTTCACCCTATTTAAGACTTTCTGAAGCTTTCTGTTGGTGAGCCGTGATTACATCCATGACAACACTTCTTCCCTAATACCATAAGCCGCCACCTTTTTTAAGTCTTTATTGTGGTTCTTTATTGAAAGCTTTACTAAAATCCAAATAAAAAATATCATATTCTTTATCATGATTAACTGCATCAAATGCTTTACTGAAGTCAGCAAATTAGTCAGGCAGGAATAACCCCTCATGAATCCATACTGAATATCATAAATCAAATTATGCTTATCAAGACGGATCCCTATAATATCGGCTATAATCGACTAGTAATTTCCCTACAAATGATGTCAGGTTTATTGGGCGATAATTTGACGGTAATGACCTATCTCCTGCTTTAAAAATGGGAATTACATTAGCTATCTTTCACAGCTCATACACTACACCTGCTTGAAGAGATATATTAAGTGGTCAGTTCTATTCCACTTCCAAGGGGAAACTGAAAAGAATTCTTCCTCCGTAAGTCATCCGTGTCGAAAGTAGCGACTAAAATACGATAGCAAAGGGCTAGTAACCCTTCCTCCTGTATACATTACTAAATTTAAGAACACCTTTCATTTTTATGTCACCCTGCCTCGGTGGGATACGGCCGGTGTGTTGCAAATAAATTCTAAATAGGCATTCTTCCAACGGCAGATAGATTCCACACGATGGGTCTCTGTCCAAATAACGCACTTCCAAGAATAGTAAGGAAATGATAAACGTTACAGAACAAGCTTTCTGGGGATAATGTTCCTCTCCGTATGAAGCTTATCAAGTCTTTCGACTTGATAAAGCTTTACGACTTCGTAAAACGATGCCTCCAGAAGCGTTTTCTTCACTGTGTCTTGTTTTGTTCACAGGGGTTTCAGCTCACCAGTGTAACTACATACATAATCTTGAGCTTCAAATCCTTCTTCGAGTTGTTAATATATTTTATCGTCACTTCAGAGACTAAGATCATTTTGGGATGTGGCAGCGTTCCATCCCAGGATTGGTATAATTTGTAGAATTAAAAAAAAAAGTATAATAATTGCATTACGTCTCTGTTTAAGAATGTAGAGATGGTATAATAATCTACGTGGCATGTCAAAAATATTTATTAATGCAAATAAGATACCATATGTATTAAGCAAATTTAGTAAATCTGCTTGTAACAGATAAATGAACTGTAGATATAAATCCAAATGTACTCCTGTAAACCTTTTGGGCCTAGTTCCTAGGCCTTTTGTGTATTTTTATGCTCTTGGGCTACCGTCCACAGGATGGATGTTTGGTGCACGATAAACTAGCCACTTCGGCGGCAAAATCTAAAAATTTATTTCCTAGCTGATTGTATAGCACCTCTACTTTCTCTGAGTTATGACAATAATTAGATAAATTAGAAAAAATGTTGACCGAAGGTGTGTGAGTAATTCTTTAAAGATTTTATACTTACCAAAACACTTAATATGCGGCATCATAGATCGTAACATTACCGTTGGTCTTAACATGCATTAACAAGTCTAGTTTGATCCACGTACAAAAGGCGGACTTGAAATTCATGAAGGGTAAAGGTAATGTGTGTAATTCAGTGAGGACTTGTTCCTCTTAGTCGGCTAAACGCCAAAGTCTCACTCCAGTCAGGCTTTTGATGACCATTGCACAGAAGCCTTGAGGACCTTTTACAGTTCAAGGTCTATAAGCTCTTTCCTGGGTGTGTCCAGCTTTGTTGCTCTGGGTGACTGCAGCTCAGCTTGTCTGAGAATTCAACCGTGTGTGTGAGTGTGTGAGATAAGATCCTTGAAAATAGTCTCACGCAAACATGGTACAAACAGATTCTTAGAGTGAGCTCTGAGTTATCTAAATCAACAATAAGTCACGTATTCTTGTAAGGTATATATTTTTAAAAGGAGAAAGTATTTTAGGACTGTTAAAGAGAAGGCCGAATTACCAGGCATCATTTTAAGGCAATAATTATATTCGAAAAACAAGTGCCAACAGAACAATGCCTGATTTAGTCATATGGACCAAACGCGACCTGGCCGTCAGGTCCCACACTCGGACCTAGTCGTCAAGGCCAGACATGGAACTGATAGTCAAGGTCAGTCCCTGACTTGGTCGTCAAGGCCAGACATGGAACTGATAGTCAAGGTCAGTCCCTGACTTGGTCGTCAAGGCCACACAGAACTGTTAGTCAAGGTCAGTTTATGACCTGGTCATCAAAACCAAAGCAGGTTGTCAGGACCATAACCAGCGTAGCCGTCAAGGCCACGCACATTAGATTTGCGAGTCAAGGTCACACCATACATGGTCATCAAGGCATCACATGACAAAGTTATTAAAACCACATATCGACATGGTCATCAAGACCATACCCTACCTGGCCCCTCCTATGCTGCCTGTGTTCCGGGGAGGAGAAAAGAATGAAAATAATACACTGTATTTCTCTCCTAAATACCAAAGCTAATTTCCCATTTGGATTTTGCTCACACTACTCAAGTTACAAACAATCTCAGTCAATTTCCAAACCCAGTCTTGTCTAAGATATATATCCACCTACCAGTATGCCACCCACAAAAATCGAGTGACATTTAAGGTGCCTATTAGCGATAGGTGAACACGGGCAATGCTTCCATTTATACGGGAAATGGACACTCGTGTATCGTTCGTAAGCGATCTTCTGGCAATTGATGGATCTCTAGTTTTAATTTCTAGACTTCCTGGGTACTCTGACCGATGTCTTCACCTATATTTCCTCGGAAGTGACTTCCGAAAAGGTTTCATGACATCTTGACATCCTTAGAATGCAAACCTTGATTAAATCTTGCATTGTTTCCTAATGCCATATCATTCCAAGTCACCATATCACGTTAAGTAAAAGGACACACGTGCAACAAATGTGACATTTTACTGTGGCAACGTTTCGCTCTCCAGGAGCTTTATCAAGCTTATCAGCATATCACCCTCACGTTGGTCCGCATGGGCCACGCTGGCACCGGGAGTATATAAACCTCGGGACACGACAGCAACAGCAGCAGTGTCTAGCTCTCCCAGCAGGATGAGTTTCCGGGGCAGTGTGAAGCAGGTGATGGTGATGGTGGTGGCAGTCACCTGCACACTTACACTAGCTCAGGATGCCAACCTTCAGGCTATAGAGTGTCCCTTCCCAGGTGGGTCCACTTGAAATGACAGAAATGTTAATGCTGCTTTACTTGAGTCATTTTTATAAAAAAAATCTCAGGGAACAGATGATATCACCATATGAAAAATAACCACTGTGAATAAATAGTGAAATTCCATGTGCTTTCGTGATTTCTCACATTATCATAGTTCCTTGATAATGTGAGAAATTATGAAAGCGCTTGGAATTTCACTATTTTTTCACAATGGTTATTCTGCATACATACATACATACACACATACAAATGATATTGATCAATAACAACACTGCGACTAGTCAAGGAGTCAAACCCATGCTGCTTCTTCCTGCCTCATGGTGGGCGCAAACTCATGATGCCTTAATCCACGGGACCACACAATCCTTAAGCTGGATGCGCTACTCTTACGGAATGTGTGGTCCCGTGGATTAAGGAGCCCAGAGTTTTCCCCCCAAATGAGGCAGGCCAAAGCAGCATGTGGTTCAACTCCTTGACTAGTCGCAGTGTATATATATATATATATATATAATAATATATTTATATATATTTATATATATATATATATATATATATATTTATATATAAATAATATATATATCTGTTGACTTCCATATATATATATATTAATTATATATTTTCTATTTCTATTATCTTCCATTTATATTCTTGAATTTGTATCGATAAAGCCACTGGCTGGCGAATCGTCTATAATTAAGATACCCAGATAAGAACATAAGAACGTAAGAAAAAAGGGAACACTGCACCCGGGCCCATGACCCATGCGGAGAGGTCCATGTCCTCCTCCCCCGTATAAGCCCAATGACCCACCCCCCAGGATAAGCCCAATGACCCACCCAGTCTGGTCACCTCCACTCAAGGATGGAGCACGGCACCAGACCCAGCAGCACAAGCTAGTCAGGTCCAACTCACACCCGCCCACATCCACTCATGTATTTATCTAACCTATTTTCAAAACTACACAACGTTTTTTGCCTCTATAACTGTACTCGGGAGTTTGTTCCACTCATCCACAACTCAATTTTCCAAACCAGTGCTTTCCTATATCCTTCCTGAATCTGAATTTTTCCAATTGAAACCATTGCTGCGGAGGGCTGTCTTGGCTAAAATTTTTAGCACGCTATTTGCATCCCCCTTTTTTTATTCCTGTTTTCCATTTATACACCTCAATTTATATCCCCCTAATTCTACGCCTTTCGAGAGAGTGCAGATTCAGGGCCCCCATTCTATCCTCACAGGGGAAAATTTCTGATACATGGGATCATCTTTGTCATCCTCCTCTGTACGTTTTCCAGAGCATTTATTCCATTCTGTAATACGGTGACCGAACTGAGCAGCATAGTGTAAATGAGGCCTAACCAAGGATATATAGATTTGAAGAACAACCTGGGGACTTCTATTATTTATACTTCTAGATATGAAGCCAAGAATTCTGTTAGCTTTATTGCGAACACTAATGCACTGTTGTCTTGGTTTTAGATTACTGCTAACCAGAACTTCTAAATCCTTTTTGCAATGAGTAATATTAAGATCTACATTATTTAGTTTATAAGTTGCATGGTTATTTACCTGTCCAACATTTAAAACTTTGCATTTGTCAATATTAAACTGCATCTGCCACTTATCTGACCATTGCATCAGTATATTCAAATCATCCTGGAGTGCTCTATTGTCCTCATTAGAATGAATTGGACGGCCTATTTTGGTGTCATCAGCAAATTGCTTATGTCGCTATTTATTCCCTCATCTATGTCGTTTATGTAAATTGTGAATAACAACGGGCCCAGCACTGACCCCTGAGGAACACCGCTTGTGACGTGCCCCCATTCTGATTTCTCCCCATTTATGCAAACTCTCTGCTGCCTATTTGTCAGCCATGCCTCTACCCAGGAAAAAATTTCTCCTCCTATTCCGTGTGCCTAAGTTTCCTCAATAGGCTCTGGTGTGGAACTCTATCGAAAGCCTTGCTGAAGTCCATATACACAATATCATATTCATTACCATGATCTACCTCCTCAAACACCTTAGTGAAAAAGGTTAGCAAATGTGTAAGACAGGAACACCCCTTTGTAAAACCGTGTTGAGATTCATTAATCAATCTGTGCCTATCAAGATGGCTACGGATTGCTTCGGCAATTATTGGTTCCATAAATTTTCCCATGCTGGAGGTAAGGCTTATTGGTCTATAGTTCGAACCAAGGACCTGTCACCTGCCTTGTAAATAGGTATTACATTTGCCATTTTCCACTTATCACTACAAACTGGCATAGTGCCTGATATGTTAAAAAGATTAGCCAAAGGTATGCTAAGTTCCTCTTTACATTCCTTTAACACCCTTGCAAAAAGTTCATAAGGACCTGGGGACTTGTTAGGTTTTAGTTTCTCTATTTGTCTGAGGACCATGTCACCATTTACCGCAAACGAGCATAGTTTATCATCCTGTTTTACATATTCTATTATTTCAAGAATATCGCTAGTATTTTCCTGGGTGAAAACTGAGAGGAAGTAGGTATTGAGAATTTCACACATATCCTTATCACTGCCAGTGATCTGGCCAGAGTTACTCTTAAGTGGGCCAATCTTGTCCCTAATCTTACTTCTATATACCTGAAAGAACCCTTTTGGGTTAGTCTTTGAATCCCTTGCGACCTTAGGCTCACAATCCCTTTTTGCTTTTCTTATTCCTTTCTTTATTTCTCTCTTTAATTGAATATATTGATTTCTTAACTGCCCATCCCCTCTTTTGATACGCCTATATATGCCTCTCTTTTGACCAATGAGATGTTTAAATCTATTGTTCATCCATTTGGGATCATTTTTGTTAGATCTAATTTCTCTACTCGGAACAAAAGTTGTCTGGGCAGCTAGAACTATGCTCTGAAAAACGTCATATTGGCAACCAAGATCACCTACCTGACCCATAGTCAGGACAACCCAATTTAGCCCACCCAGGTAATTCTTCAGTCCCATGAAGTCGGCCAAGCGAAAATCTGGGACAGAGATTTGATTGCAGTTATATGGGTAATTTCATGATATATTGAAACTAAGGGATTTGTGATCACTTTCTCCAAAATCATCATTAACCTCAAGATTATTAATTAGTGAATCTTTGTTGGCAAGAACCAAGTCAAGCAGATTGTTTCCTCTAGTTGTTTCTGTCACAACCTGTTCTAAAAAGCAATCCTGAACCGTATCAAAAAAAGTCACTAGACTCAAGATTTCTTGTCATACTGTTCCAATCAATTTGTCTAAAGTTAAAATCTCCCATTATCACAACATTTTCATATCTAGATGCCTTATGAATTTCGTCCCATAACAGCTTACTGCACTCCATATCAAGGTTTGGGGGCCTATAAATCACACCCAAAATTAATTTGTCACGTCCCTCGAGAAACTGTAGCCAAACAGATTCTGTGTTGGATGTTTCAAATCTTACATCATATCTAAGACAACAATTTAAATTTTCTCTGACATACATCGCCACCCCACCACCCTTTGTGTTGACCCTATCAATGTGGAATAGTTTATAACCCTGTATGTTGCATTCAGAAGGCATTTCTCTATCTTTCAGGTTGAACCAAGTCTCTGTTATACCAATAATATCTATATTACCTACACTTGCAAGTAATCTTAGCTCATCTATCTTATTTCTTAGACTCCTACTATTTGTATAGTAAACCTTAAGGGAGCTAGTCACTCGTTGCATTCCACTATCTCTCTTTGTTTGTTGATCAATTGATTTGCCATTACTAGCAACTTTATTTTGAATATTGTCTTTTAAACATATCCCTGACGTATCCCGGTAATAACTGCTGTTTTTAACCCTAATGCTGTAACCTGATTGTTTCCCACTAACACCCATACCTCTATAATCTATCAGTTTAAATTCCTAGACAAGTCATCAATTACCCTCTCAGTTGAATTGGCTAATGCAACCACTCCATCCCCAGAGAGATGAACCCCATCCCTTGCATACATATCACGTTTGCCAAAGAATAGGTCCCAGTTATCAATGAATGGGACTGCAAGTTCCTTGCAGTACCTGTCTAGCCAGCAATTTATACCAATTGCCCTAGACATCCATTCATTGCCCACTCCCTTTCTAGGCAAGATGCTACATATAACTGGGATCCCTCCCTTAGACCTAATTACTTCTATGGCTAACCTGTACTTATCCAGCAGCTCCTCTCTCCTGCCCTTCCCAGTGTCATTACCCCCAGCACTAAGACAGATAATGGGCTTGTTCCCATTACCTGCCATAATATTATCCAACCTGCTGACTATATGACTCACGATCGCGGGTTCCATCCTGCCCGTGGTATGGTCTGCTGACTATGTCACCAACACCAGCTCCAGGAAGGCACACTGTCTGACCTTAATGGGTAGTCCTATACTGAATCGTCAGTCATGTGCTGTGTGTCTACGTTGAATCTTCAGTAATGTATTCTGTGTCTATAACATATATACCCTTAAGACCATTGTGTAAAAAAAGAAATATTATGTGGTATGAAATGAAATACTAAATTATAACATGGTGTTGACAGAGGGACAAGATGTGTTGTCAGAGGAGGAGTGTGGCAAGTACTCAGCGTGTGAGTGGACAGACGGTGTGTGTCACATGGTGGACAACGCTCTTGGCGGCTACATCGTCCAGGGACCTCAGGAAGTCACCTCCAGGGGTTTTTTGGTGAATACAGGTTTTTGATAAATGAAATATTCAATACAGTGTTTGGGGGAGAACAAATAATCACGACTCAAACACTAGAAAAAACTAAACGTTGATTCGGGAGGTTCCTTGGCCATTATCAAGTCTTGTGTCTCGCTAATGGTCGAGGACCGACGGAAAAGTCGATTAGGTTTATCTACAGTGTTAGATGTGAGTAAATTGTTTTCCTACCCATCTATACAAAAAATCTGTTCTCCGTTCAACTTAAAAACTGTGAAATATTCCTTCATATGACTTATAAGTCCTTCCATTAGCCATAACGTGACTCAGCATGGCTTCTATCCTTTAATTGACTACAAAGTACTGCAGTTGTGTTGCCTTTCCGTAGATCAAATCTACCAATCTTCACTTCAAGTTTTGAGAGACTGCTTGGCCATTTAGACTGGTGAATGAGAAGCTTCATATTGCTGATAAAGTTACAAGCATACGCTGACATTCCCACGCTATTTTACCACCCACATGGGTTTAGCATTGTCATTTATGCATATATATAAACAAACCCGTCGTACCCCACCGAGGCAGGGTGACCTAAAAACTTAAACGAAAGTTTTTTTTTTAATTTAGTAATATATACTGGATAGTCATACTGAAAAATCATATCTTGAAAAGGTAAATTTTATCCGTTGAAATATTCCAGGTTCATCTGCAGAAAGCAGATGATTCAGTGACGATGTTTGGCGATGACGTGACCAACCTGGTGTTTGAGGTGATTCATCACGAAGACTACCACCTCCAGATCAAGGTAAACCCGCCCACACCAATTATTTGTCAACCTGGCTTGAAACTGGTATAAAATACTGACGAGTTGATGATTAAGGTGTGTACAACAGTTGGGTATATTTATTAGTGATATGTTTTGCCTACACAGTAGGCTTTCTCAGTTAAATACAGAGGCAGCGTGTGTAGTAGGGAAATGATGATGATGTTATCAGTCCATCATCCTTATTGAAATAGCACTTGAGGTGGTCAGTCTGGAGAAGAGTTCCAGACCAGGGACTGACAATCTCAAACACTATTTAACCAAGGTTGATGGACTCATTACATCATCTTCATTGCACTACTACACCTGCTACCTTTGTATTTGACTGAAGAAGCCTGCTGCATAGGCGAAACATTTCATTAATAAAGATATCCAACTGTCACACATGTGTCTTAATCATCAGTTTATGAACCTGTTCATCCACATACTCAATGCATTATTTCTCACACTGCACTTTATGTTATTCTCATATTTACGTATAATTACCCCAACAAAAACGAAAAAGCTTGCGACTTACATCTGGCGCAGTAAAAAAGTTGGAGGATGGACTTCAAATGAGCAAAACCTCCTGATTAGGGTGAGATCGTTGCCCCAATAGTTACTTACTTACTATGTGGGTTTAGGTCAATACTTAGTTAATTTTAGTTATCTTATCTTACCCTTATGTCTTATCCTGAAGTCACTCAACACCCAGTAGAAAACACGCACTGCTGGCTAAGCCATCATAAACTGCATCACTGGTCTGAGATTGGGCTCGTTTTAGAGGAAAGATGATTGAGCTTACTCCAGTCCTTGCAGGTTCAGCGCTTCTTATAAATATTATATTACTCGCTAATCAAATGCTGTGATCAGTGCAGTGTAGAGGAGCGATAGCGCATTCGACTCACAACCGAAAGGAACCGGGAATGACCCCAAGTTGAAGCGGGACATACGAGTAAGACTCTTAACACCTGCATGTAACAGAATTGCAATAAATAGTTCACTAGAAGTGTGGAAGACCTAAAACATAACGGACACACGTCACACTAGTCGACTTCTTTGGATTATGCCGGGCTATCAATCCTCCGTGATTACTAACGTTAATAACGCCATCCTTTTCTTAATGTTACTACAGCCCTTGCCCTTCCCCGGCAGATCTACGACGCAGACAATGCCCGCTACGAGGTACCAGTGCCAGTGTACGTTCCTGACTCCCCTGACACTGACGCCTTGTACACTGTCGAGGTCAGCGGTGACGGAGAACCTTTCCAGTTCTCTGTCAACAGAGAATCCAATAACAACATTGTGTAAGTCTCTGTCGTAGACTGTGCCGCCAGAATACCATGAACATCCTGTGAGATGTAGCGCCAATGGATGGCGATACGTCTACAAGAAAAGATACCCAGATGTTGCACGTGTGTCTAATTCGTAAGAATAACAAAGGTCTGCATAAATAACTCATATGTAAATTCTTCATTACGACTGTCACTTGTTCAGCTATCAGAACTTTGCTACGCAGTCCCCGGACACACTGTGTACCTCTGTAATCTTTTGACTACCCCCCACAGGATGGGTATGGGGTGACCCCCATCCATAGGATGGGTATGGGATGGCCTTCACCCACAGGATGGGTATGGGATGACCCCCACCCACACGATGGGTATGGGGTAACTACCACCCACAGGATAGGTATGGGATGACCCCCACCTACAGGATGGGTATGGGATGACCCTTACCCACAAGATGGGTATGGGATGACCCCCACCCACAGAACAGGTATGGGATGACCCCACCCACACGATGGGTATGGGATGACCACCCACACGATAGGTATGGGATGACCACCACCCACACGATAAGCATGGGATGACCCTCACCCACAGGATGGGTATGGGATGACCGCCACCCCCAGGATGGGTATGGGGTGCATTATAAAGATATTAAACGAACTAAAAATCACAGTGGGTGTTTATCAGATCACACTAGGCATAGTAATATCATTAGAAATATTATAATCAAGTCATATAATTACGTCACATACCTAATGTACACAAAACCATATGGAGATACAATTTGAAGTACCTTATTGCCATTAAAAAAATATTAGTCATTTCTGGTTTGCAGTTTAATCTAATATCACTTTATTTATCTACCTGATGCAGGATGTTGATGCAGTGTTAAGATTCAGATATCTTATAATAATAATAATAATAAATAATAATAATAATAATAAATAATAATAATAATAATAATAATAACCTTTATTTCTGTAAGTACATGACACAACTTATACAGACCATAGCTGACATCAGTTATATACTATACAGAAAGTCCCTGGTTATGCAGAGCATTTCAGGCATTTAGGTTAAGCTTGACCCCCAGGATGCGACTCACACCAGTCAGCTAGCACCTAGATACCTACTTGCTATGTGAACAGGGACAGCAGATGTTAGGAAACACGCCCAGTGTTTCCACTCTTATCGGGGATCGAACCACGGGCTGCCATTTCCTGCAGGATGTGCCTGGATAACATTAGTTTGTCCTTGAGCGTTTAGCAGTGTAAATGAATCTTAGTTTGCAGGATATGTTTGATTTGTGAGTATTAATGTGTATGAGTGTATATATTTTTTTACTGACACGATCACTGAATGATCTCAATATATCTAAATGCTCTATAAATATTACGGATGTTTACCAATCTTTCCACACACACCAACTCCCTCACTGTCTTGTATACTGCCTTCTAACACCTGAAAGAACCTGGGGTCAAAACGGGCGAGGCAGGACGTGTGGAAAACCCTCCCAAAACCTGCTGCCCTCGTCACCTAGCAGTCAATCAGGTGTTGTGGGTCGCATCCTGGGAACAAAATTAACCTAAGTTGCCAGAAAACCTCTGCATAACCAGGGGTTTTCTATATAGTATTTCACTGTATATGTTGTATCACGTACTTGTTGAAATAAAGATTATTATTACTATTAGCACTATTCAGGTTCAGCTCATTGGGTCCACTGACCTACGAGGATCAGTTCCTGCAGCTGCACACCCACCTGGCCTCCACTTACCTCTACGGGTTTGGTGAGAACACCCACCTCTCCTTCAGACACAAGTTCGAGCCTCGTGCCACCTTCCCGATATTTGCCAGGGACAGGGCTGTGGACACGGTGAGAACACTCATGCTATTGTACACTGTCCTGTGAGTACATTGTATTGTGTGTACATAGTGTTGTGAGTACGTTGTGTTGTGTGGTGTACATAATGTTGAGTATTTGCCTTTGTATGTTGTATGTTGCGTGTGTATTCATAAAGGTGCTCGTACACTGTCTTAAGTTTAAATATTATATTGTGTGTTCACTATCGTGTGTATGTTTTATTGTGGTATAAACCTTGGTAATAAATACCGACAAGTTGGTTTAGAAAGACACGTAAGCAAACACTATAACATATTTATTAGAAAACGTTTCGGTCCTGGGACCTTGATCACTTCTGATCAAGGTCCCAGGACCGAAACGTTTTCTAATAAATATGTTATAGTGTTTGCTTACGTGTCTTTCTAAACCATGTTTTATTGTATATACAATGTCTAGTGTGCGTAATGTTATGTGCACACTGTGTCCGTTGATGTGTGTACACTGCCTTGAGTGTACGTTATGTGTACTCTGTCTTGTTTGTATGGTGCTCTGTTTACAATGTTTTTTTTTTTTTTTGTAATTCATTTTAAGCGCTTAACCCATGTGGGTCATTCAGCGCAAGACGTGGTGAAGGCTTGATCCTCCGTCTACTGAGCGCCTGACAGACGCGCTTCCTATTTGTACTTTGTGAGTATGTACTGTGTATTGTGTATACATTGTGTGTTGTATTTGTTCAGTGTGTAGTGTGTACATCGTTATGTACATCGTTATGCTTTGTGTACACGATCTTGTGAATACAGTTGTGTGTCCATAGCATTATGTGTGTACACAATGTGTCAAGTGCTGTATGTGCTATGTTGTATGTACACTTATGTATACATAGAGCATAATATGTGTATTGTTCTGTGCACATGGTTATGTATACAGTACATGTACACTGTTGTATATACACGGTTATGTATACAGTGTGCGTGCACTGCTGTGTATACTGTTGTGTGTACACTTGTATGAATAGTGTTGCATGTACGTGTGTTTACTGATATGTGTACACTCATATGTACTGTCTGAACAGTGTGTATACGCTATGTGCACATAGTCTGAACTCTCATATGTACAATGCTGTGAGTAAACTTTGTCATAAGTGCACTTGCATGTGTGCACTGTTGTGTTGGGTAGAGTGCACCTTCCATCTCTGAGACTCCCTCACTCACACAGGAACCAGCCAGCGAGTACGGTCACCATCCTTATTACATGGTGATGGAGGATGATGAAGGCAACTCCCACTCTGTCCTTCTCTACAACTCCAACGCCATGGGTGAGTACTAGCCGCCGCCGCCGCCGCCCGCCGCCGCCTCCTCCTCCTCCTCCTCCTCCTCCTCCTCCTCCTCCTCCTCTCCTAATCTGTGATTCCTTAATGGTCGAAGTCGGACCGAAACGTTGTCATTAGTATCTTTCTCTTATATTCGGGTTATTTGTATACTATTCATATATGTTTCATACTATTGCGCCCTTTAATTATTATTATTATTATATTCATGGGAAACACTAATCCGTGGGAGTCTACAGCGTGGGAATATGGAAGGTAAACAGGAAGGGAAGGATAATTTAATTTTCTTAGACCAAGAGGTCATCATTAGCTTCATGGAAGAGAGCTGTGCACACTTACACAGTACATCACCGAACTGCTTTTTCCAAGATGCTGGAGCACCGTGAGGGTGTTCATTTCGTGGGACTACCTCGGACATGATTAAGAAAACTCTAGCAACGCTCCTGACCACCTCTATACAGGTGAAGCTCTCCAACCTCTTCACAATGAATCGGTCTAGGAGTACCCTCTTGTATGTTGACGATCCCTTCAGCCATGGTTTCTCTTGCAGGATCCTGTTTTGCACTGTTTCTTTTATAAAAGTCAGCTTGACCGAACGATTTCTCTTCTTCAAGTACCCCCCCCCCCCACATTCTCTGAAAATTTACTATCTTAGTCATGTCCTCCTCGCCTATTTCTTTGATGATGTTTTCAATTTCCTGTTTTTCTTTCTGCCATCTTTCATTGTGCGTCCTCCCTATGCTCTCCTGAAGCCCATGAATAAACACTGACCTCTCTCTCTCCTCCTCCCACTGTCTTTCCCTCTGTGCTTCTGGGTCCCATTTGTACATGGCTATTGTTTCCCTTATTTTTTCCTGTAGCTCTTGGTGGCATGGTTGTGCCTCTACATAAGACCTAACCCCCTCTCCCCCCTCTCTCACTGCTTTCCTTGCTCCCAGCTGCTCTCCCCTTTCATTCCTCGGTCCTGTTTGGTGGTCTGATAGGGCCTTAGCTTAAGTCATGTCTCCTTCCTTTCCGTTGGGCTCCTCGTTCAGCTCTTCCATCCATTATGTGTGTGTGTGTGTGTGTGTGTCTGACAAGTGGAGAATAAATGCAATTTTCTGCCGTACAAAGTACTAAAGAATCATTCATCCCTGAAACCTATAAATCCAACAACACCTCCACCTTGTATTTTCGTCTAGTTGTCAAGTTTTGCATCCAGTATATAGGTTAGCTGTGAATAGTTGCTGCCCCGTAATTGTGATATAGTTCCGTTTTGTTTCAGCAACGGCATTTTGTGTTAGTATTCCACACAGCAGATATGACATCGTGACAGAGGCTAGCACCTCCTGTACTTGTAACCCGGTAGGCCACACTGTCGCTTCACACACTGAGTGTCCATGGTTCAATCCCCGGCAAGGATGAAAGAATTGGGCGTGTTTCCTTACATCTGCTGCCCCCTTTCATCTAACATGCAGGTCAACGAATGTTAGTCGATTGGTGTGGGTGGCATCCTGGGGGACAAAATTGAAGGATCCCAGTGGAAATAAAGATAGACAGTCCTCGATGATGCACTAACTTTCTTGGGTTATCCTGGGTATACCTTGAGAGTATACTTGGAGGGGGGTTTTTGGGTTCAAGGCCCCCGCGGTCCGGTCTGAGATCAGGCCTCGATGTAGCTCAGTTAGCCAATATTCCTTGGTTAAAAATCCCAAATCTCATCACCCACCAGAGTACTCCACCTTCCTGCTGCCTGACGGTACACCGGCGCTCACACTGCGGACAATCGGTGGCATCATCGACCTGCACATCTTCCTGGGACCTCAGCCAGAGGACCTCATCGAGGAGTACACCAATGTTAGTACTGTACCTACACTCTCCCTCACGGTATCTCGTCACCACTCTCCATCCCTCTCTCCCTCACAAAACTTGCTTCACCATCACCTCCCTCCATCACACTGTCCCTCCCTCAAGAACTATTAGTCAGTCATAGGAAGTTTAAAAATAGCAAATTTTAACTAAAAACTAAACACAGTTTTAGCATCAATGTATATTGCACAATATATTATCAAAGGAAAATAATTCGTCCATCATGATTTACATTCTCAGATCATTTGAATTTAATACAGCCTAAAATACGATGTATTTGAATGTACGTGTTCACCCTCCTCGATGTCTATACACAGCAACATATGTTTCAATATATATATATATATATATATATATATATATATATATATATATATATATATATATATATATATATATATATATATATATATATATATATATATATATATATATATATATATATATATTGTGTGTGTGTGTGTGTGTGTGTGTGTGTGTGTGTGTGTGTGTGTTGTGTGTGTGTGTGTGTGTGTGTGTGTGTGTGTGTGTGTGTGTGTGTGTCGTGCCGAATAGGCAGAACTTGCGATCTTGGCTTATAAAGCAACTCTCATCTTGCCATATAAGACAATTGAAAATTTGTGTATACAATAATTTCGCCAAAATCATTCTGAACCTAACGAAAAAAATATATTTCACTGTGTTTGTTTAATATTAAATTATTGTAAACAAATCTAAAATATATTTAGTTGGGTTAGGCTAAAATAAATTGTTCTTGTTATAATAAGGTTAGGTAAGTTTTCTATGATTCTTTTGGCTCAAAATTATAAATTTTTACGTTAACATTAATGAAAAAATCTATCTTTAAACGTTTAAGAGAAAATTTAAGAAAGGACATAATTTTAAATGATTTCTTGCTAATTGACCAGTTTTACATATTCGGCACGACACACACACACACACACATTATATATATATAATATATAAATATATATATATATATATATATATATATATATATATATATATATATATATATATATATATAATATATATATATATATATATATATATATTATATATATATATATATATATATATTATATATAATAATATGACTGATTAATTGATATTACTATGTCCCGTCATATCTTCATCAGATGGTGGGAAGTACCCTCTTCCCCCCATACTGGTACTTAGGTTTCCAACTCTCCCGTTGGGGCTACAAGTCTACTGACTACGTCCGGGGTGTCCGGGAAAGGATGAAGTCCTACGGTATCCCCCAGGTAAGTGGTCGTATAACCAAGGGAACAAACGGGCCTCTCAAGGTTGGATAATGGCAAACCTGGTGGGTAATACTATCCCCCAGATGGGTAACAGTATTCCCGAGAGAATAACAGCATCCTCATAAACGGTAAAGGTATCTTATCCTCTCATGAGCCCAGATTACCAATATTTAAAAAAATATGTTGGAATTAGTTTAGTTAATTTACATAATTTAGTTATACTGAGACCTTCGTATCGCAGTTATTTATATTTGTTGCCATTAAGGGTATACTATAAATATCTGGGGAGGGGGGGGGGGCGAATCTCGCATAATTTTCATCAAATCTAGGTCTCCTAGGTAACCTAGAGCTGGGTTACCCTAGAGCTGGGTTACCCTAGATCTGGGTTACCCTAAAGCTGGGTTACCCTAGAGCTGGGTTACCCTAGAGCTGGGTTACAATAGAGCTGGGTTACCCTAGAGCTGGGTTACCCTAAAATTGAGCTACTCTAGAGCTGGGTTACCCTAAAATTGGGTTACCCTAAAATTGGGTTACCTTAAAGCTGGGTTACCTTAAAGCTGGGTTACCCTAGAGCTGGGTTACCCTAAAACTGAGTTACCCTATAGCTGGTTACCCTAAAATTGGGTTACCCTAGAGCTGGGTTTCCCTGGAGCTGGGTTAATCTAGAGCTGGATTACCCTAGAGCTGGGTTACCCTAGAGCTGGGTTACCATAAAGTTAGGTTACCGTAGAGCTGGGTTACCCTAAAGTTGGGTTCCCGTAGAGCTGGGTTACCCTAGAGCTGGGTTACCCTAGAGCTGGGTTACCCTACAATTGGGTTACCCTAGAGCTGAGTTACTCTGGAGCTAGGTTACCCTAAAATTGGGTTACCCTAGAGCTGGGTTACCCTAAAATTGGGTTACTCTAGAGTTGGGGTACCCTAGAGCTGGGTTACCCTAGAGCTTGGTTACCCTAGAGCTGGGTTACCCAAGAGCTGGGTTACCCTAGAGCTGGGTTACACTAAAGCTGGGTTACCCTAGAGCTGGGTTACCCTAGAGCTGGGTTACCCTAGAGCTTGGTTACCCTAGAGCTGGGTTACCCTAGAGCTGGGTTACCCTAGAGCTGGGTTACCCTAGAGCTGGGTTACCTTAGAGCTGGGTTACCCTAGAGCTGGGTTACACTAAAGCTGGGTTACCCTAGAGCTGGGTTACTCTAGAGCTGGGTTACCCTAGAGCTTGGTTACCCTAGAGCTGGGTTACCCAAGAGCTGGGTTACCCTAGAGCTGGGTTACCCTAGAGCTGGGTTACCTAGAGCTGGTTACCTAGAGCTGGGTTACCCTAGAGCTGGGTTACCCTAAAGCTGGTTACCCTAGCTGGGTTACCCAAGAGCTGGGTTACCCTAGAGCTGGGTTACCCTAGAGCTGGGTTACCCTAGAGCTGGGTTACCCTAGAGCTGGGTTACCCTAGAGCTGGGTTACCCTAGAGCTGGGTTACCCTAAAGCTGGGTTACCTTTATATGACGGGGAATCACCCGTCCACTCACACTATCACCACACCTTGGTAACCTACACATGGGGGGAAGGTTCAGTTTTGTCGTTAACTAGGGTTTCCCAAGCACTCTCCACAGACTATGAAAGCAATGTTTCCTTTTGCTTAGAAAGTTGGGATATTTCCTCTTTCATTAAAATATTGTGCTTTATGACTCCAACGGGTTTAGTGCTTATTTCACAAGATCTAGTCATATAGAGATAAAACAATAAGTATTTTCTGATAAATAATGCATATTTTTGGATTAGAACATTAAAAATAACGAGGATTTTTATAAATATCGTATTTAAAAAAAATCATTACAATGTACATTCCTCACTATGTGACAAAATCCACTTTTTTTAAACCTGCCCAAAGTGGTCAGGCTCCTTAAAATTTCTTACCTCCCTCTTATCTTCCAACAGTCTTTATCACTGTGTCATTCTACCCTAGTACTTACCCTCTCCATTTATGCCAGCCCTCTTAGGGCCTTAAAAATGGATACTTAAAGCTTGGCTTGTGGCACAGGATATACAGACGTTTGACATCGACTACACGGATAACAAGAGGGACTTCACCTTAGACCCCATCAACTTCGGTGACATGCCGGAGCTTATCCAGGAGCTGCACGACGACAACATCAGAGTCACTCTCCTTGTGGTAAGTCTTGGAGGCTCTTGATTTACTAAGTTTATTTAGCTACAGGTATATAATCACAGTTACGCAGATTTAGATCCTGACCACAGTTATCAAAGTCAGACGAAGTGACTTCCACTGGGGTCTTGGTGATATATTGTTGTTTAAATTGTACGTGTAGGCTACAGTAGAAATCAATCATGATTATAAGTAACTCAAGAGGTGGAAGCAGGAGTGTGTGACGACCCTTTTCGCAGTTGAAGGGATCGACTGCGTTCCTCGATGTTCCTTTCTTTAATATAAATATTTAAGGAATTTTCTTGTTACTGACTTTTGGCTCTTCTTTTCTTGTGAATGCTGGTGAGGGGCTCTTAATCTAATAAACTGGATCAATTTTAATATTTCCTTGGACCAAATCTGATTACACTTCCTTGTCCTTAGTCGTTGTAAGACTCTTACGGGTTTGGCGCTTCCCGGTACTCTGCAAGTACTCATTCTTCATTATTTTCACTTACTATCAATGTTACACACAGCCAGGACAGTGTCAGTGTCGGTGTCAAGGGCGCCCTCAAACTGGACAGTGTCCATTGTGGCACTTAACTACCTGTACTCGCTTCCTCCCACCACATAAAACAACAATTCAACTCCCTCAATACGATCAGTTCATCAGCCGTAACAACGATATCAGCATCTTACATGAGTTCATCTTGGGACTTGAAAACCCGTGGTTCGGTAGACAACGCTCTCGCCTGGCACACACTGAGTGTCCGTGGTTCATTCTCAGGCCGGGCAGAAACATTGGGCATGTTTCCTTACACCTACTGTCCCTGTTCACCTAACAGTACGTAGGGTTATCCTGGGTAGCTAAGCCTCCGGTTTAAAAATCCAAGATATCTTTACATATTAAGGAAGTTCTTTGTAATTGGGAAGGGATGTAGCCAGTGAATTTCCTCAAATTCCCCAAGCTCAAAGTGTTTATCTCTGCCCCATCCACATATTTCTAATTATGACATTGCAGGACCCGGCGCTGGTGATCGACTTCGAAAACTACCCACCAGTGGCTAGGGGTAAGGAGGCTGATGTATTTATCAAGTGGTCTGACCCCAGCCTGGTGCCGGATGACCAGGAACCCGGCACAGACGAGTACATGGTCGGCTACGTCTGGCCAGCAAATAAGACCATCTTTCCGGACTTCCTAAAACCAGAGACTCAGGACTGGTGGATCAATGAAATGAAGATCTTCCATGAGGTTAGTTGAGAGAGAGAGAGAGCGAGAGAGGAGAGAGAGAGAGAGAGAGAGAGAGAGAGAGAGAGAGAGAGAGAGAGAGAGAGAGAGAGAGAGAGAGAGAGAGAGAGGGAGAGACTTTAAAATATATTTGAAAAACTTTCAGATTTATAATACTCTCTTAGAGAAAGTACTATATCTGTTTATTCCTAGAATCTCTTACGTTTCTTCTGTCTTCTGAATAGAGTGGAGTTACTCTTCCTTTCCTTGGATCAGGACTGATTACCTACCATTCTTCTGGTACTGGAAGATTCTTATAGGCATGGTGCTTCCCAATTATTATATTACTATTATTATTAATATTAGTTTTAAACAGAATATTGTAATTTGCACAAACTGGTTATGTTTACGTATAGTTTCTATATAATAAATATTCTTGTAAACAGATAATTAGTTTTTATTTAAATGGCGAAGGATTAAATCTGTAAGAATTGTTACAGCATCTGGTGTACTTAGGTTTCATTAAAATTTTTGGATCACGATTTCCTTCAGCAGCATCAAACATTCCTTGAAGGGTTTCATATTAAGCGATCGAGAAACACCGAACATTGCATCGTACACCACCAGCTCTATGTGCCTCTTCCTTCAAGAGGCGCCTTCATACCGGTGAAGAGCTCGTGGTTAAAAGAAATGGTTCTGAATAAATTGTTTAGAAAACCGACAATCTGATAAATGAGACACTTGTGCAACATTTGGGTATCGACTTTATTCTGGCATAAAGAATAAAGATACCCAAATGTTGCACGAGTGTCTTATTCATCAATAGAAATGACGTTATCCTCTTCTTTGGATAGAATCTGATTAGTTCTTCCCCTCCTAATTAATTCTCCCCCCACAGCTGCTCGACTGGGACACCATCTGGATCGACATGAACGAGCCGGCCAACTTCGGCACCAACTTGGACCATCCATGGAACTGGCCACCAGACCAGCCTGACTGGAGCCTCAAGTGTCCCGAGAACAAGTGGGACTCACCGCCTTACCCCACCATGGTGGCCCGTACAACCGACAACGAGAGTAAGAGACTTAGGTAATTCACCCACAGTTTTGTATGCCTGATGCACTAAGGTGGCCGTAGGTGATCAGTGAGGCACTTGGAACCTGATGATGAGACGTCAGGAACCCGAGGAAAACTTATGATCTGCAAGTACTTGTACTTGCAGATCAAGAGTATTAGGTAATGGACACAGATGCAACTAATGAGACATTTTATTGTGGCAACGTTTCGCTCTCCAGGAACTTTAAGCCATTACAATGAACACATTACTGTTATATTCATAGGGAAACGCTAAGGGGTTATACAGTGCCTAGAGAATAGAACATAACAATGATTATTAATTATTAATTATTATTATTGCTATTCGTTTGGCAGTGAACACACACTGTGTATGTCTGCCAGCCAGACAGATGGCACCATGACCTACATGCACTACGACGTGCACTCCCTCTACGGCTGGTCTGAGGCTGTCGCAACTACAAGTAAGTGTGACTTTGTAAATGGTCCAAGTCGGACCGAAACGTCGTCGTAAGCTCCTCCTCCCTATGTGTGGGTTATTTGTGTATATTGTTCTTTACAAGTCACTCCACGGGAACACCTCACCCACTGTTCTTGTTAATAATACAACTATGTATATGTATTATAGTGTGTGTGTGTGTGTGTGTGTGTGTGTGTGTGTGTGTGTGTGTGTGTGTGTGTGTGTGTGTGTGTGTGTGTGTGTGTGTGTACTCACCTATTTGTGGTTGCAGGGGTCGACTCACAGTCCCCACTTGCCAGAGAGGTTGCGGGCACAATTGTTTAAATACATAAATTAGAATACAGGAATGTGACTTCTTGGGTTACATACGAGTGAAAAACTGTAGTCTAGTGGAATTTGTTTATAATCTGGCAGGACTGCCGGCTTCTGCTTTGCTTTATCAACATGTTAGATGCCAGATAAATCTTAAAATACCTTTCTTTTGCATTCAGTATACGTTTTTTTCTCCTGTGGGGTTTTTAATAGCGCTTAATCTCGCAATTTCTAGTTATAGATTTGAGAGGTCTCCTCTGAGCACGGATCACTGGGGTTTTAATTGCTGAAATTAAAAATAGATTTAGAGTGTAATTAGAGCAAAGACGTAACCATGAATCTCAGAGACAAAATCCTTGAAATTTAGAACTATATTCTGCCTCATCTGATCTTAAATTTAAATAAATTAATGAGTTTGTTGTTGTAGCAGGGTTATTTAATCTACCCGTATGACAAACTCCTAAGAGATGAAAATCCTTCAGGTTTAGACTATGTTCTGCCTCACTTCACGTGAAATTGAAATACATTAATAAACTGATAAATGGTCAGAGCAATTTGAGCCCTATGCAGCACTAACGTGGCGTGGCACCCAACAGAGCAATGGTGGAGGTATTCCCAGAGAGGCGACCCATGGTGCTCACTCGCTCTACCTTCCCTGGCTCGGGACAGTATGCTGTACACTGGCTAGGTGACAACTCTGCAGAGTGGATCCAAATGAAGAATTCTATTATTGGTAAGTACTGACATACTGTACCATAATTAATGATGATGTGTGTGTGTGTGTGTGTGTGTGTGTGTGTGTGTGTGTGTGTGTGTCGTGCCGAATAGGTAGAATTGGTCAATTAGCACCACTCCATTTTCCAAGTGAGGCGCATAAGGGTAGGGCACTAGATGTCAGACATTACTAGAAATAAGAAGAGGGAATAAACTAGTAAACTTCAAAACCCTATTAAATTAATGTCACTGTAGCACAAAGGTCCATTGAAATTAGCATATTACATAATTAAATTTTTGTACTATGCACTAAGGTTTTACGTACATCACTGGCATGATACAAAGCTGTAACATAATTAAACACGAGAATTTTTCCCGATCTCACTCATCTCTGTTATTTTCCAGGTTTGTTAGAGTTTAACATGTTTGGTGTGCCAATGGTCGGAGCTGACATCTGCGGCTTCCTCAACGAGCCTGACATGGAGATGTGTGCAAGATGGATGGAACTGGGATCCTTTTATCCCTTCAGGTAAGTCACAACTTAATTGTATTTAAAAAAAACTCTTAAGATTTACGTGTGTATTATATATATATATATATATATATATATATATATATATATATATATATATATATATATATATATATATATATATATATATATATATATATCGTTGAGGTACATGTGGGGACAAAAAACGTTATCTATGGAAGCAAAGAAGGGAATGTATGAAAGTATAGTAGTACCAACACTCTTGTATGGGTGTGAAGCTTGGGTTGTGAATGCAGCAGCGAGGAGGCGGTTGGAGGCAGTGGAGATGTCCTGTCTAAGGGCAATGTGTGGTGTAAATATTATGCAGAAAATTCGGAGTGTGGAAATTAGGAGAAGGTGTGGAGTTAATAAAAGTATTAGAGGGCTGAAGAGGGGTTATTGAGGTGGTTTGGTCATTTAGAGAGAATGAATCAAAGTAGAATGACATGGAGAGCGTATAAATCTGTAGGAGAAGGAAGGCGGTGTAGAGGTCGTCCTCGAAAAGGTTGGAAGGAAGGGGTAAGGGAGGTTTTGTGGGCGAGGGGCTTGGACTTCCAGCAGGCGTGCATGAGTGTGTTCGATAGGAGAGAATGGAGACGAATGGTATTTGGGACCTGACGATCTGTTGGAGTGTGAGCAGGGTAATATTTAGTGAAGGGATTCAGGGAAACCGGTTATTTTTATATAGTCGGACTTGAGTCCTGGAAATGGGAAGTACAATGCCTGCACTTTAAAGGAGGGGTTTGGGATATTGGCAGTTTGGAGGGATATGTTGTGTATCTTTATACATATATGCTTCTAAACTGTTGTATTCTGAGCACCTCTGAAAAAACAGTGATTATGTGTGAGTGTGGTGAAAGTGTTGAATGATGGCGAAAGTATTTTCATTTCGGGGATTTTCTTTCTTTTTGGGTCACCCTGCCTCGGTGGGAGACGGCCGACTTGTTATATATATTATATATATATATATATATATATATATATATATATTATATATATATATATATATATATATATATATATATATATAAAATATATAATATATGAATACCAGAGATCCAGTGATAAAATAACTATAATCTTTTTGATGGAAAAGCTTTGAAACACACAAGTAATGACTTGTGTTTTGTTGAGAACCCTTCTTGTAGAGTTAATGTTCCGTATTTATATATAATGTTTTAAAAATGGAAATTTTTATTTATTTGATTTTAATTTGCGTGTTTTTTTTTTTTTTTTTTTTTTTTGTCAGCCGTAACCACAACACGGACGGGACGGCTGACCAGGACCCAGCCATGTGGCCAGAGGTGGCTGAAATCTCTCGGTACACTCTCAGCCTCCGCTACCAGTACCTGCCCTACCTCTACACCCTCTTCCACATGGTCAGTCTCCATTACTACCAGGGAATTAGTCGGTTCGAATTTATATTCTGATACTAAAGTGTAATTTAGACAGAAATATAGACAAGACACACATACAGTCTTTTACTGAAACGACGTCTCGCTGTAAACAAGGCAAAACGTTTTTTGGCAATACAGCGTCTGTATCTTTTCTTGATTTACATACCAAAAGTTTTTCTTGCTGATTTCCTGCCGTATTTGGTTTACGTACTAATGCCTCTTAAGTGTTCATTGAGGTTTATTCCATTACTGCTACGATCTATAGAATTCTGCACCTCTGCATCACACTGACACTCTCTACTACTGTGATAAACTCCTCAGAGAAGGTTCTTTGATTACGGTGAGGGGCGCTAACCAGAGGATGTGGATCTGACCTTCCTTTCCTTGGGTCGAACTTGAATGCTTCCTTTTCCCTTAGGCCCTGCATGACCCTTACGGTTTTAGCGGTCCCCCGTCGGTGTAACGATAACTATAATAATAAATTGTACCCCAATGTGCTTCACTGTGTTACATTGCTATGTGATACTAAATTGCTATACTACATTGCTACTCTACACTATACAAGAATGCTACTCTATACTGCACTGCATTCTACTTATCTGTATTATAATATACTACACTAATACTAATACTTTTTTGGGTTATCCTAGGTTCTCTACACATATGCTGCTATGTATGATAATTCTATGTAACTGTATTTGTGTATACCTGAATAAACTTACTTACTTGTACCTGTACCAAAATAAGTTTACTTACGCTGCCATATTGTACCCACAGGCACACATGCACGGCAGCTCCGTGGCTCGGCCGCTCCTCAATGTGTTCCCCACCGACCTGGAGGCTCGTGATGTTGATGACCAGTTCATGTGGGGTGATGGGTTGATGATTGCCCCCGTGGTCACACAGGGTGCCACCTCCAGATCCGTCTACTTCCCCCAGGTAAGTTTTTGGCCTTATCTACTTCAGTAGGGCCATGAAAGTTCCTGGTTCCGTTTGCTGTCTCAAGGTAGACTTTTGGTCCGGCTACTGTCTTCTATTAAGTTCACGGCTTGCATACTTCTCTGGGGTAAAGTGCTTCAGGCCCACTTACTTCCCTGGAGTAAGATGCTTCAGACCCACCTACTTCCCTGAAGTAAAAAGCTTCAGGTCCACCTACTTCCCTGTAGTAAGGAATCCCACACCGCATACTTCACATATATTTTTTTTCAGATCAGGAAAGTCAAAAACCACGTATCCTGCAGGACCTCCAATTTCTCCGAGATGCGACCCTCAAGTGCCTCTTTTTTGATATAGGCTACATTTCTTTGAAATACTGATTTTTATAAGACTGTGAAGGCTGCCTCCTGTCTGTTTCTACAAGCAAAGAACTATTTAAAAAACGACCCCTAACATTAGTTTTATTGAAATTTATTATATGAACACTTTATATAGCGTTTAGCACCATGATAAATCGTAACAGACGTCTGTCTGTTACGATTTGTCGTGATTAAGAAAACTTACATAAGAACATAAGAACATAGAACGAAGGAACACTGCAGCAGGCCTACTGGCCCATGCGAGGCAGGTCCAAATCTCCTACCGGCTTAAGCCAATGCACCCAACCTAGTCAGGTCAGGTAACATTGACTTAAGGGAGGAACACGGCAACCGACCTGGTAGCACAAGCTATCAGGTCCAACTCACACCCACCCACATCCACTCATGTATTTATCCAACCTATTTTTAAAGCTACACAGCGTTTTTTCTGGCCTCTATAACTGTATTTGGGGAGTTTATTCCACTCATCCACAACTCTATTACCAAACCAGTACTTTCCCTATATCCTTCCTGAATCTGAATTTTTCCAACTTAAAACCATTGCTGCGAGTCCTGTCTAGGCTAGATATTTTCAGCACACTACATCCCCTTTATTTTTTCCTGTCCTTCCATTATACACCTCAATCATATCCCCCCTAATTCTACGTTTTTTCTAGAGAGTGCAGATTCAGGCCCTTAGTCTATCTTTATAGGGAAGGTTTCTGAATACATGGGATCAACTTTGTCCCTCCTCCTTTGCACATTTTCCAGAGCATTTATATCCATTCTGTAATACGGTGACCAAAACTGTGCCAGCATAATCTAAAGAGGCCTAACCAAGGATGTATAGAGTTTAAGAACAACCTGAGGACTCTTTTTTATTTATACTTCTTGATATGAAGCCAAGGATTCTATTAGCTTTTATTGCGAACACTTATGCCCCTGTTGTCTTGGTTTTTAGATTACTGCTAACCAGAACTCCTATCTTTTTCACAACCGTAATAAATTAAGATCTACATTATTTAGTATATGTGGCATGGTTTTTTGTCCCCGTCCAACATTTAGAACTTTGCATTTGTCTATATTAAACTGCATCTGCCACTTCTCCGATCACTGCATCATCTATTCAAATCTTCCTGGAGTGCTCTAATGTCCTCGTCAGAATGAATTCGACGGGCCTATTTTGGTGTCATCGGCAAACTTGCTGATGTTGCTCTTTATGCCCTCACTATGTCGTTTATGTAGATTGTGAACCCGCAGGGGACCTAACACTGACCCCTGTTGAACACCGCTCGTGACGCTTCCCCACTCTGATTTCTCCCCATTTATGCAAACTCTCTGCTGCCTATTTGTCAACCATGCCTCTATCCAGGAAAAAATTTCTCCTATTCCATGTGCCTTAATTTTCCTCAATAGTCTCTGATGTGGGACCCTGTCAAAAGCCTTACTGAAGTCCATATACACAATATCATATTCATTACCATGATCTACCTCCTCAAATACCTTAGTGAAAAAAGTTAATAAATTCGTAAGGCAGGAACGCCCCTTTGTAAAACCATGCTGAGATTCGTTGATTAATTTATGCTTTTCAAGGTGGCTACGAACTGCCTCGGCAATTATTGATTCCATAAATTTTCCCACTATGGAGGTTAGGCTTATTGGTCTATAGTTCGAAGCTAAGGACCTGTCACCTGCTTTGAAAATAGGTATCACATTTTCCCCTTTCCACTTATCTGGCACCATGCCAGTTTGTAGTGATATGTTGAAAAGATTAGTCAAAGGTTTGCTAAGCTCCTCTTTACATTCCTTTAGAACCCTTGCATACAGTTCATCAGGGCCTGGGGATTTGTTAGGTTTTAATTTATCTATTTGCCTAAGGACCATGTCACTTGTGACCCTAATCGTGCACAGTTTATTATCGTCCTGTTCTACATAATTTATCATTTCCGGAATATCGCTGGTATCCTCCTGTGTAAAAACTGAGAGGAAGTATGTGTTAAAAATTCTACACATTTCCTTATCACTGTCAGTGAGCTGACCCGAGGAACTTTAGAGTGGGCCTATCTTGTCCCTGATCTTACTTCTGTATACCTGAAAGAATTCTTTTGGGTTAGTCTTCGATTCTCTTGCAACTTTAACCTCATAATCTCTTTTTGCTTTTCTAATTCCCTTTTTTATTTCTCTCTTTAACTGACTATATCGATTTCTTAATTGCCTCTCTCCTCTTTTGATTTGCCTATATATGCCTCTCTTTTGACCAATCAGATATTTTAATCTATTGTTCATCCATTTAGGATCATTTTTGTTTGATCTGATTTCCCTATTTGGAACATAATTTGACTGAGCAGCTAGAACTATGCCCTGGAAAGCGTCATATCGGCAACCATCACCACCTACCTGACCCTTAGTCAGGTCATTCCAGTTCAGCCCACCTAAGTAATTTTTCAGTCCTATGAAATCAGCTAAGCGAAAGTCATGGACAGAGACTTGATTGCCATTATTAGGGGAATTCCATGATATATTAAAACTGAGTGATTTGTGATCACTTTCCCCAAGCTCATCATTAACCTCAAGATTATTAATTAGTGTTTTCCTACTGGCAAGAACCAAGTCAAGGAGGTTATTTCCCCCTAGTTGGCTCTGTCACAAACTGTTTTAAAAAACAATCCTGGATCGTATCAAGAAAGTCACCTGACTCTAAATTTCTTGTCAAATTGTTCCAGTCAATCTGTCTATAGTTGAAATCTCCCATTAGCAAAACATTTTCGTATGTAGATGCCTTACGAATTTCGTCCCATAGAAGTTTACTGCACTCCCTATCAAGATTTGGGGCCCTGTAAATCACACCCAATAATGCTTGTAAATTTAGACCTCCTAGTGAGTCTCTGAAAAAGGATTTCAGGTGAAAAACAAAGTATGCATTCGTAATTCATTTACGCATTCTCTTAGTCTTCATGTGGAATTCATTTATACATTGACTCGTTTTTATTGTGTTTTATAATCGCCATAAGGCAGTATTCTGGTATGATAAGATTTCTTGGGATTTTTAACCCAGGTAAGTGTTAGTCATTCAGGATTAACCAAAGAAAGTCAGTGCATCATCGAAGACTGTCTTATTTCCATTTGGGTTCTTCTATCTTGTCCCCAAGGATGCGACCCCCACCAGTCGACTAACACCCAGGTACCTATCAACTGCAGATGTAAGGAAACATGCCCGAAGTTTCCACCAATGCCGGGGACTGAACCGCAGACACTCAGTGTGTGAAGCAAAAGTGTTGCCAATTGAACCACGGTACAAGGTGATGGTGAAAGCAGCCGTGAAAGTGACTGTTGCCATTCAGTCAATCGACGCGATCTCTGGCCCATGCTAGGCAGGCTCTTCTCACAGCCAATCACAACTGTGCTTTCTCTGGCAGGGTCTCTGGTACGACCTGGTGACTGGTGTTCAGGTGGCATCAGGTCCCACTACACTTACTGTTGATGCTCCTCTCGAGGTCATCCCCTTGTACGTGCCAGGTGGAACTATCCTGCCCTACCAAGTACCATCCATCTCCACCACCGAGAGGTGAGTCCTCGCTGTTTTCCTGTGGTGATATAGACAAACTCATAACGTTTCGTAAGTTCCAGTCTCCTGGAACTTACCCGCCCTAGCAGCGCTGTATAGCCCTTGTGGTTTAGCGCTTCTTTTTTATTATAATAATAATAATAATCCACCCGCCCTAAATACGTGGTTAAAACACTCAGAAAAGCAAGAAATTCTGCCTGCCTGTTCCAGATACATCATCATAATTTCCCAATAAGCTATAAGCTGTTTAATGATCGCACGATGCCAAAAATTTTACCGAGTCCGATACTGGTACTCAAAATTTTGGCCTACACAGATAGTACCGTATAGCTGTTTTCAGTATATAAGGGAGAGAGGTTCTTGTTCAATATGTATTAATTAATAACCCTTCGAGATTAAATATTAAAGTGTATAATTTCATTGTTTTCCTATAATTTTCCCTAGTTTTAGAACATCTACATAGTTTTATTCCTAAGTCAAGTTATAGATTCACTATAATTCTTTGATTACAAGCATTGATCTTATACCAATCTCCCATTTGTAACAATCTATTAGCCAGTAAGATAAAGTAGATAAGTATCATAATTCTTAATAACATAATATCTTATTAAAAAAACTAGCTGTAGAGTCACTCTCATTCTTATGACTACAGACATTGATCCTGGTGTAAACCTTTCCTTCAATGAATTACATGAATCAAACAACAACTGTAATTATTATACAACAGACCAAGCAAAGACATTACTCAGAGCAAACAATAACAACTATCTTTAATTAAAATGTCAGATCCCTGAGCAAACTGATAACCTCACAGCATTACTCAGTTCCCTTCATTCCAGCCTGTCAATCATCACACTCACAGAAACCTGGCTAAAACCTGGTATTACAGTTGTCTATACCATTCCTGGATACACAGCTATACACAACTGTAGGACAGACCAGCTAGGGGGTGGAACAGCTTTATACTACTCAAATCAGCTTGAATGTATCTATAAATCTTGTACAAGGGATGAGCATGGTGAATATATCATAGCTAAATTTACACCAAAAGACCTGCAAAAACCACTCACAGTTATAAACAGAGTATCACAGTCAAAAATTTACCACTTTAGTGAAAAATTAGGAAACTTGATAACTGATGCACATACGACAGGAGATTTCAACATGAATCTACTACATGACCAAGACCCACAAGTAACCGAATTCACAAACACTATGAGCAACTGCTTGTTGCTACCAACAATATCTAAACCTACAAGAATCTCCGAGACCAGTGTCTCTTTAATAGACCACATCTGGACTAACACAATATCCCCTTTAAAATCAGGCATAATCACAGACAACACCGGAGACCACTACCCAACCTTTCTCATAACCAATCTAGGTAAATTGCCCCATGACATTACTAAAGTTACCTTCAGAATACATAATGAGACAGCTGTAAATAACTTTATAGCAGCTATGAATAACATTGACTGGAACAATGAGCTCGAAACATATACAGATATGAATGAATGTATTAATAATTTTCTATAAAAAAGCCCATTATCTCTATAATAAACATTGCTCTAGGAACACTAAACAGATCACAGCTAAGAGACTGAACAGTCCCTGGCTAACACCCAGCATCCTTAAATCCATCAACACAAAGCACCAATTGTAGATGAATGGTTCAGAGAACCGACATGTTGTTAAATTAGACACATGTGCAACTCTTGGGTATCTTTATTGATGAAACGTTTCGCCACACAGTGTTTCATCAGTCCATACAAAGGAGAAACTTGAAGAACAGGAGGAGAATGAGGTAATCAGTCCCTCAACCTTGAGTCGATGTGGTCAGTCCATCAATCTTGAATATTCTATTCAATTGAATTGAATTGAATTCTATTGAATATTCTATTCAAGATTGATGGACTGACCACATCGACTCAAGGTTGAGGGACTGATTACCTCATTCTCCTCCTGTTCTTCAAGTTTCTCCTTTGTATGGACTGATGAAGCCACTGTGTGGCGAAACGTTTCCTCAGTAAAGATACCCAAGAGTTGCACATGTGTCTAATTTAACAACAAAGCACCAATATGAAAAACAGTACAGAATGGGCCAAATAAATAGAGAACAGTCAAAACACTACTCAACAGCTCTTACCAGCCTCATAAGAAGGTCTAAAAAATTGTATTTTGAAAACAGACTACAAACCATCAAAGGTGATAAGAAAAAGACCTGGAAAACTCTATCCGAAATTCTTGGAACTAAAAAGATATCGAAAACAAAACAATCAAATTAACAAAATCAGACGAACCCCTACTCCCACCAACTGAAGCAGCAAACAGGCTCAATGTTTTCTTCTTCACCATAGGAAAGAACCTAGCAAGCAAAATCCCAAACTCAAACACTCGTCCATCTGACTACCTCACAGGCACCTACCCGAACACATTATTCCTAGCTCCAACCCAACAGAAGTCTCGCACATCAACACCCTTAAAAACAAGGCAGGAGACAAACAATTTGCCAACTTTTATGTACAAAAAAGCTTCTCAAGTATTGTCATCAATTATTGCAACACACTTCAACAAATCCATTGAATCCTCCACCTTCCCAACAATTCTCAGAATAGCGAGGGTCACTCCGATACGCAAAGGTGACCAAGCAGACTTGAATAACTATAGACCAATATCTAACTTACCACGCCTCTCTAAAATTAATTCATAGACGGATCTATTCCTACCTCGTCTCACATAACATATTAAAGCCCTGTCAATTTGGATTCAGGAATAATAAAAGCACAAATGATGCTATCATACGCATGCTAGAACTAAGAAGTCCCATTGGGAATTTTCATTGATTTACGTAAAGCTTTTAATACAGTCGACCATGAACTGCTGTACACTAAATTAACACATTATGGTATAAGAAGGCACTCCCTCAACTACCTAAAGTCATACCTTAGCAACAGAAGCCAATATGTGTACACAAATGGTGCAAACTCTTCCACACAATCACAGTCGGATTCCCACAAGGAAGCGTCCTTGGACCACTCCTCTTTCTTATCTACATCAATGACCTACCGAATTCATCACAGCTTCTCAAACCCATATTATTTGCAGATGACACTACATACGTCTTCTCCCACCCAAACACAGTCATACTCGCCAACACAGTCAATGCCGAATTGCAGAAAATATCTACCTGGATGATATCTAATAAACTTACACTGAATACTGACAAAACCTATTTCATTCATTTTGGAAACAAAGCTACAAATGTTCCACTTAACATAACGCTAAACGGATCACCCGTCACAAGACTCACGGAGAGAAAATTCCTAGGAATCCACCTTGACAGTAGCCTCAAGTTCCAGACTCATATACAACAAATAACCAAGAAAATCTGTAAGACTGTAGGTATACTATCAAAGATTGGGTACTATGTTCCACAATCAGCTCTCCTGGCACTGTATCATTCACTCATCTACCCTTATCTCATATATGGAATTTATGGATGGGGATCAACAACATTAAATCACCCAAGACCACTAATAACCCAGCAAAAGGCTGCAATCAGGATAACAAATTCCCACTCCCGACAGCATACCCCACCAATATTCAAAAGTCTAAATCTGCTCACCATAAAGAACATCTATACTTATTCATGTGCCTACTACATACACAGAACAATATACGCAAACAAACCCAACACTCAAACTTTTCCTCACAAATCTAAACAGGACACACGACCATAACACAAGACAGATCTCTTTTTGACGTGCCCCGTGTCCATATCACACTGTGTAAAAACTCTATGCACATAAAGGGCTCTAAAATTTGGAATTCATTACCAGAAAATACCAAAGTAAGCAGGTGTGAAAATCAATTTAAGACTCTTCTCAAAAGCCACTTAATCACCCTAAACTAAATACTCAATACACTCAATATTTAACGCTACCAGTAAATCTACCAATTACCTAAATCTTAAAACTTCATGACTAGACGACCAAGCTGACAAATTACCACATAAAGGTATACATACCTACCAAAACCAGTATTACCCTTCACCAAATTGTAGCAGTCTCATACTGTAAACTACTGTAAACGTTATGGAATAAATGAATATATCCTTTGGTTTGTATAAATTAGATTCACTTATTATTAATAAAACTACTGTACAACTATGATCATTTCTTTAGTAATAAGTAGTCAGTAAGACATTAAATTAAGTCAGCCCATAATACCAAGGCATAATAGATACTCTTTGTACTGCAACCCATCACTGTAGAAATATAATCTAAATGTACTGCTTCCGAAGAAATAAATGAATTTTGATTTGAATTTGAAGTTGTACAGATGCCGATGTTATTTCTCGTCAATAATTATGAATACTAAGCGCTAAGCCAGCAAGGGTCATACAAGTCTAACACTAATCTGGTGCTTAAGTTAAAAAACAATAATGATATTAATGTCTCGTAGTCGTGAGAACCCACTGGGACTGACAGTGGCGCTGGCAGAAGACATGACGGCCTGGGGACGACTCTTCTGGGATGATGGTGAGACTCCTACGATGTCGATGATGACTGCTTACATGGCTTCCTTTAGCTACGACCAGGTGAGTGGGCTGATGGTGAGTGGGCTGGTGGTGAGTGGGTTGGTGGTGAATGAGCTGGTGGTGAGTGGGCTGGTGGTGAGTGGGTTGGTGGTGAATGAGCTGGTGGTGAGTGGGCTGGTGGTGAATGGGCTGGTGGTGAATGGGCTGGTGGTGAGTGGGCTGGTGGTGAGTGGGTTGGTGGTGAATGAGCTGGTGGTGAGTGGGCTGGTGGTGAGTGGGCTGGTGGTGAGTGGGCTGGTGGTGAGTGGGCTGGTGGTGAGTGGGCTGGTGGTGAGTGGGCTGGTGGCGAGTGAGCTGGTGGTGAGCTGGTGGTGAGTGGTTGGTGGTGAGCTGGTGGTGGGGTGGGCTGGTGGCGAGTGGGCTGGTGGTGAGTGAGCTAGTGATGAGTGAGCTGGTGATGAGTGGGCTGGTGGTGAGTGAGCTGGTGGTGAGTGGGCTGGTGGCGAGTGGGCTGGTGGCGAGTGGGCTGGTGGCGAGTGGGTGGTGGTGAGTGAGCTGGTGGTGAGTGAGCTGGTGGTGAGTGGGCTGGTGAGTGAGTGGGCTGGTGGTGAGTGAGCTGGTGGTGAGTGACCTGGTGGTGAGTGGGCTGGTGGTGAGTGGGCTGGTGGTGAGTGGACTGGTGGCGAGTGGGCTGGTGGCGAGTGGGCTGGTGGTGAGTGGGCTGGTGGTGAGTGGGCTGGTGGCGAGTGGGGCTGGTGGTAAGGTGGTTTATAATTAGTAGTGTATATATATATATATATATATATATATATATATATATATATATATATATATATATATATATATATATATATATATATATATATGTCGTGCCGAATAGGTAAAACTTACGATTTTGGCTTAAATAGTAACTCACTTCTTGCCGAATAAGGCAAACTAAAATTTGTGTATGCAATAATATCGCAAAAAATGATTCTGAACCTAACAAAAAAATATATTTCATTGTGTTTGTTTATTATTAAATTATTTGGTACAAAATTATTAATTTTTACATGAACATAAATGAAAAAAATGTCTTTAAACGTATAAAAGAAATTTTTTGAAAATTTTAGATGAGTTTTTGCTAATTGGCTGGCTTTACCTATTCGGCACGACATATATATAAAGAGAAGAGAAGAGAAGAGAGAGAGAGAGAGAGAAAGTTAGCATCAGGTAGGGTAGGCTCCAAAACCTGGTGGTCCCTGGTCAAGGACAGACAAGGTTATCTGCCTGATGAACTTATTCCACCTCTAAATCGAGAGGATGGGACCACCTCTACTAGTAGTCAAGAGAAAGCGGACCTCTTTGCTGAACACTTTGCTACCAAAATGCAAGTTCCTGATCCAGCAAGGGACCCTCCTTGGCTAGCTGCAAGAACTGTATCAAAACTGTCAGGGGTGACAATAAGGCAGGAGGAGGTGCATTTCCTTCTTAAATCACTTGACCAAGAAAAGGCTGTGGGCCCAGACAAGTTGAGCCAAGATTGTTGAGAAGATGTGCGACCAGCTAGCAGCACCTCTAACTCGCATCTTTCAGCACTGCCTAGTACAGTGCAAATGGCCCTCTCCATGGAAAGAGGCAAATGTAGTCCCTGTTCACAAAAAGAAGAGCAGAGCAGAAATCAGCAACTACAGACCAGTGTCACTCCTGTCATCATGGTAAGATCCTTGAGACAATAATCTCAAGACAAATGACAGATTTTTTGACTACCACTCACTACTTTGTGATCGTCAATATGGCTTCAGGAAAGGTTATCTGCTTGCTGATCTGTTGTTAACCTCTCCATAAGTGGCACCAGTCACTGGATGAATCCAAAGTCAGCTGTGTGGTAGCACTGGACATTGCTGGCGCTTTCGACCGGGTGTGGCACCAGGGCCTCTTAGCAAAACTTCAAGCACTGGGAATTGCAGGCTCTTACGCTATGTCTCCTCAGTGATTACCTTCATGGTAGATCTCTAAGTGTAGTCCTCAATGGAACGGAATCAGCAAGACATCCTATTGGGGCAAGCGTTCCACAAGGAAGTGTGCTGGGTCCACTGTTATGGAATGTCTACTTCAACGACCTTCTTCATCTCATCCCAGAATCACATGCATATGCAGACGACTGTACACTGACATTCACTTATCCAAGAGAAGAAATGCCAGCTGCTCTAAGCTACATCAATCACCAGCTGAGAGCTATATCAGCTTGGGGAAATAGATGGCAAGTAACATTTGCACCTGAGAAAACGCAAATGATGATCGTCTCTAGGCACCATGATGGTAATGCTGGTGCAGTAGTAAGGATGAATGGGAGGATGTTGGCACCTGGAGAAGAAGTTGATATCCTTGGGGTGAAATTTGACTCCAAACTAACCATGAAGAACCATGTTGTAAATCTTGCAAACAAGGCAGCCAGGAAGCTTACAGCACTTCGCCGTATCTCGCATCTGCTTGACAGTAGGGGTTGCAAGATACTGTACGAGGCACAAGTACGCTCACACCTTGAGTATGCTCCACTTTCTTGGTTTGCCTGTCCCCCCTCTCATCTGCGACTGCTTGACAGAGTAGAGAACAGAGCAAGACGTCTCATCTCTCGCCTGGACCCATCCTGGATGGATCTGTCATTTCAGCAGAGCCTTCAACATAGGAGGGATGTGGGTGGCCTTACTGTTATGTACAAGGCCAATATTGTCAAAATACCACACTTGGATCCACTTCGAGGACAGCGCGAAACAAGCTTTTATGCCACAAGACGGGCAGAAAGCAGCAACTTCACTCTGGCTGTACCCTTCTCCAGAACATCACTCCATCTGAGATCATACATACCCAGGATGACTCGAGTATGGAACACATTCGTTCAGCATAATGATGTCAACGAGATAACGTCAGTTGATCAAATGAAAATGCTGGCCCACAGATGGCTCCAACTTCATCCTGTTCCCTACTTGTATGTCTCATAACAATAAAAATGCTTTCAAATGAGCTGATGTAGGTAACAGCTCTTAGCTTGTCAATAAAGTTAGGAATCCTTAACCTGTAAATAGCTTGTCAATAAAGCTAGGGATCCTTAACCTTGTCAAACCATGTGTAAAAAAAAAAAAAAAAAAAAAAAAAAAAAAAAAAAAAAAGAGGGAGAGAGAGAGAGGACTTTTAAAAGTTACTTAAATGGTAAATGAACCTCAAACATCTAATAAACCTGAAAACCCTTACTCGAGATAAAAATTAAGTTTCTTAGTGAAAAACCCTAAGTCCCTCTAATGCCCGTCACCCTAAGCATTCCCAACTTTTTCCGGGCGAGTTGACTTTCTGTCAGCAGGAAAGGGGACATAGTGCCGGTCTCTTCATCGACACAGTCAGCATCACGGTTTCCCAGTGCCCCAGAACATCACTGTCAATGTGAACCTCTCACTGCTAGGACGGAACAGACGCTTCCAGCAGTGTCCTCAACATCACCACCCCTACTCCCCCGGCAGGCCACTTGATGTTATAATCCCATAAAAAACGGATCTATGATATATTTTTTTTACACTTAGGCGGCGAGTGTCCCAGTTTAGGTACAGTATTTTTGTTTTAGGAAAACCATCGTTATTATGAATTCGGGAGCAGGGAGTATACATTTGGTTATTTTATTTTTGTCCCAGCGTCTTTACCGAGTTACCAAACCCTTTTTGAAATTTGTAGTTTTTTCTGTTTTTTACCCTTTTCTGATCAACATGTCGCCAAAGGAAATTTAAAGGCTATCATTTTTGGTCTAAAAATCACTATGGTATAACGTCCTATATTGAGAAATCCAAAAATGATTCCCAATCATATACTGGTCTCAGGACGTCACTCGAAAAAAGCTTAAAAAGCCATCCATGTGTTTAAAAAGTCACGGAAGGATTTCCACGTCTCTAATGATTAAGAGGTTTCTAGAGGGACTTCCCCCGCTACATGTGCTTCTGAAACCCCACTGGAAAAAATCCCACCTCTCTTTTTAGTCTGAGAGTCAATGGCTTCCTGCCCTTTTTCTGGCCCGGAAATTTCTTTACTTGTCTATCCTGCATTTCTTTAACAATCACCTGTGACCCCTACACAATGTACTGATGCATCCTGTAGGAAATCTCTTCAATAAAGATCATCCTTTTCAAAAAATTTGCTTTTTAACCCAAAAAAACTGTCGACTTTTCGGGGTTAACCCAGGAACTTCACATGTGTCACTATTTTTGTAACCCGAACGAGGGGAAATTTGAAAATAACAAATTGCGCAGCCAAGGATTCGAACCCATTTGTCGGGCCTCCCTCATGGTAATGAGACCCACATGACGCTTTAAACCACGGGACCCCCAACCCCTCAAGAATGGCGCACCCAGCAGAGTAGCTTTTGGGGCCCCGCCATCCGAGGGAACGGAGGTGGGGAGCTTCTAAGCTAATTTCATTCTCACCCCGTTTGGTGTACTAGCCCCACAGAGTATTTGTATATTTTTGTAACCACGAACGAGTGGTATTGATCAATAACAACACTGCGATAGCCCAAAGGGTTCGAACCCCGTTGTATGACCTGCCTCATGGTAAGCGAGAACCCCCAAAGACGCTTAAAACCCCAGGACACCCCAAACCCCATAACAGGGATGAGAATGAAATTAGCTTAGAAGCTCCCACACCTCCGTATGCCCTTGGATGGTGGCCCAACAGCTAGCTGTGTGCTGGCTGCTCCATTCTTGTAGGGTTGGGTGGTCCTGTGGTTTAAAACTTGTGGTTTTTTCGCTTACCCTGAGGCAGGCCGTAAAATGGTTCGAATCCTTGGCTAGCGCAGTGTTGTTATTAATGTGTTACTATGTATGATAATTGCACTTATATTCACCTGTACCTAAATAAACTTTCATGAATTTTCTACACATCTCAGGCATAGAAAACTTAATTATCCCCCAAAATTTAACATATACGTTTAAAATTATATGTTACTGAACTATTTAAGACTATTTTTTAGGTAACCCTTGTTGAATAAAATTTTAACTAATGCTAAAACAGTGCTGAAGGACCTTTATTGGTTAAGCTCTCGCTTTTGATAATTATTACAACGTATTCGCTTACGTTATCATTAAAAGAGCGACAATGTTCGTGGCTCCACGTTACGTAGTTCCTGGCGATATTTCCACAGCAATAGTTGGGGAAGCATTGTAGTGTCGCTGCTACGAAGTGGATGTCCGGTGGTTTGGGTGGCAACACTCTCGCCTCACACACTGAGGATCCGTGGTTCAATCCACGGGTGGGAATGTTGGGCATGTTGCCTTACACCTGTTGTCCCTGTTCACCTAGAAGTAGGTGCCTGGGTGTCAGTGGACTGATGTTGGTCGCATCCTAGGGGACAAAACTGAAGAACCACAATG